GTCGTGATTTCCACATTCGCTGTCGCTGCCATCACCGTCCATCGTTCCATGACAATGCATCCCTGTAGATCGCTCTTCTGCTTCGGATCTTGATGTTCGTGCCCGTCGATCACCCTTCCTCTCCTCGTAACGTTGCCGTCCGATCTCCATCGACCACGCATCTCCGGATCCTTCTCGTGACGTGGTGGCAGCGTCTTTCAGGCATGCGCAGCCGCGGCGTTGTGGGTTTCGACCACGCGCCGTGCTCGCAGATCGCCTCTTCGTGACTGAAGCATTCAATGCACGTCGCACCTTCCGTTCCGCCGTGGTACTGCCACTCGTCTTCCGATAACATGGCGCATGCTTACTGCCCTTGTCACATGTGGACGTCTGGCGTCACGATAGCGTCTACTCCGACACTGCGGACCGTCGTATGACGAGTCGGACGTGCGCGTCGGTTCCTGATGGTCCGTCTCTCGTGCGGCGACGCCTCTTCGTCGCTTTCACTCCTTTCTATGTTTACTTGTATACTGCACCTTGTATACTTGTGCTTTGTGTACCCAGTGTCCTGCTGGTGACATCTCATTTGCGTATCGTCGGGCTGTTCGTTCACGGCAGTGTCTCTGCATCCTCCGTCGCCACGCGTCAATCTTCGTTCTTGACGCGGCACATCCGCATGTGGTTATATATTCTCGAGGCCCCTCCCTTCGGTGTCCTTTGCTCATTTGCCGATCGTTGTCGACGTCGCGCAGTCTTCTCTTTTCTGCCCCTGCCAGTCAGACCTGAAGCATCCGTAGATTCGGGCATAACGCAGCATCTTCGTCTGTGTCCCGCCCTCTTTCTTTCCCTTCGTCTCGTCTGCATCTCTGCACGATGTCATGTCGTATTAACATTGTTTGCCCTCGCAGGCGGACATCCACGCTCATCCACGCACCCCCTCCGCTTCCTGACGCTCTCAGCTAGACCCTCCCGCTCGCGCTCTCCTCTCGGATGGACACTCGGACCCTGGATATGCTATCATAGCCCCCTCGTAACGCTCTCTCGACGTCTCCGCCTGCGTACTACACAAGACACACTATGTGGACTTTCTGCTCTGTACATAGCGAGGCTCGTAGGGTGAGTTTCGCGTTCGTACTGTATGTTGTATGTTTGTTCCTGATCCGGTTCTTGGAGTAGGAGTTTGATGCTGTTGTTGTCCTGTACACCCCGCACATTCATTTGCTGATCTCGTTCACTCATTCCTTTTCTGATCGCTACTTATACAACTGGCTTTCTGAGGCATAGAGCCGTATTCACACGCGCACCGCGAGGGCGCGGTATGCGATGAAATTTCGATGAAACTTGAAAGGTGGTGAACAAAGCTGCGCGCGCCGCGCGTCAGCTGTGAACGCGTCGACGTCGGGGAACAGGTCACGCCACAAACGCGTCTCTGCCTCAACCCTTTGCCGCTCATCTACACAATATTGTAGGACTGTCGTACACCGCTACTAGTATGCTGCCTCGAGACTACGTGGCAATACAACTACTAATTATGTTCGTACTTACGCGCCTCAAACGTGCAAGGTTGACACCATCTGCTAATTGTGGTTTTGCGTAATCGTGTTGTGCGTCGGACACCCGAATAATTCCGCTCTACGAACTCTACGAACCGGTGAGAACGAAGCCGTCCAATGACAACTTCCGCTCGAAGTCCGCAGAGCCCATGTAGTCCTCCACCCGCTCACCCGCCTCGTTTGATATATTCTGCACGCTTCGCCGGCCCGCCGCGTTGCCGTGCACCCGCCACCACGTACATCCCTCGAGGACCCGTCTATGGTACTGACGCGAATCGTACGAGCGCGCCTCCATGGCGACACAGATGTATTTGAGCGACGGAACACGAGCTGCGACCTGCTGGGCGATATTAAGTGCCGGTGTGCTCGTTTTCAATTTGTGCCGTTGTTCTGGTTGTTGGTACATTGACATAGCATCGCTATCGTAGAAGCCGAGCCTCACGCAGACGAGGCTAGACTTTGCAATCACCGGCAGGAGCCAATCCTGGCAGGAAAGAACGGTCAATAGGACTGGACGGTGGTACGTACACACGATCGGACGCACCATAAGCGGAGTTATTAAACATCCCCTTCTAGTAGTGCTGCACTGAGCAGTGATTTCCAGATGCCGCAGACGCCCTGCCGGGCCAAGCATCTCTCGGAGTAGAGCGGCCCAGAGGCTCTCTTGACCGTCCAGCTGAAAGGACAAGAGAATGGGCCGAATGGACAGGAGAGCACTCAATAAGCCATCCACATTGGGTGCGTATTGCCAGTGAAGGTACAGACGACGGACTGGCACGCTTGTAAAGCATTGGAGCTGATCGAGCGAAGCTGTAAGATGGACTAGAGGCTTGGACGCCGGCCACGTCCACCTCTGCGGAGTGAAATCGCTAGAATAGTGTTGGTCGTGAAAGTGGAGTGTCTCGATGTTAGGAAAGAGGTGCGGTATCGGAAGCGCGCCGCAACGGTAGAGGCGGACCTCGCGCACAGTAGGATGTTGGCCGAGGTCACCGAGCTGAAGCTGGGAGCCCGGGGGACCCTTGACCGGGAGGCAGACTGAGTCAAGGACCACCGCATGCGCGTTCCGGAGCAAGGGAAGACGACTCAAAGTGACAAAGTTCTGCGGGACTGAGATTTCTGATGCGAACGCGAAGGTAACTTCTGACGGATAACTCTTCATCCTGCTCGCCACTTCCATAGCACAAGACGCGACGTCTTCGAGGGCGACGGAGTGGAGGCGCTCCAATGTGATGAGAGCGTCGCCGAGACGTGGTTCCAGTTCGAGCATCAATTCCAGCAAAGGGAAGACTAGGACGCGGAGGTCTTGCGCTGCAGTAAGGAGACTTGCCAGCTGGACGATGAGCGACCTACGCGCACGCCCCATCTCGCGGGAATCGGCATAAGGGAGCCGCAGGGCGAACTTGTGTATGCGCAGTTCACGCAGCCAGCAGGCGCGATGACAAGGGTTGTCGAGCATGTACGAGCATATCTTCACCAATTGACCTGGTTGAGATGGCTCCGCGCGCGAGAGGACTGCACGCCTAGCCACGAGGTGGATATGTCGGGAGACGAGCGAAAGATTCCGCGCTGTGTTGGGAGAGACGAGAGACACGATCATGAACCACACGTCCTCGTCCAACCGAGGTGCATCACAGTGAGTTTGCATTCCGTTGTCAAGAACGAGCTAAGAGCAGTGATTGGTACAGTCTCAAGACGAGACGGCAAAGCGCACCTATGAACAACGAGTACAGGGACAAGCTGGCTGTCGTGGTTGTAGCGTCGGATCTGTGTGGCCGAGAGCTCGAGCCACTGCCCACCGGGAACGAGATCACATGCGCGTGCCGCTGTTGACCACCATCCACGGCGCACGCAGCCACCGATGTCTGAACACCTCTCATCCGATACCACTGCGTACTCAGAACATGCTACGCCTCCCTCCTCGGACTCGGACTCTGGCACAGCGCCCGGCACGCCTCCGAGTTCCACGAACACGTCATGGCCTGCAACAAGCGACACTTCTCTCGATGCGTACGATATACCATTACAGTTCTGGGCTCGGATGAAGGAGAACGGTGGAACGACCGAACCCATCGATGCGCTGCACGGGTATTTCAACGACATCTGGCACTTGTGGAAGGAGTGGGTAGATAAAGGCCGACGTGGATTCGTTACAAAGGTATGATCCCATTCGGCTCGCGTTTGTGTATGGGATATGTCTTTGATCGTGACCTCTTGGGTAGCATATGATCGGGATGAATTCGGATTCATACCGGCTCCTACTGGACGTGCTGGAACAGGCGTGGCAGTGGGAGCTAGAAGGGGGAGTTTATGGGCGTTGGGTAGCGTTCTTGCGCTGCATGAGGTGAGTATGGGTTTGTATGATCGCGCTTCTTGTGCTGAGCCTTCTGTGGCAGAGCAGACCTCTTCGTCCAGGCCAACGAGGTCGTGGCCATTGCACCGACCTTCGACGAGGACTTCTCGGTTCAAATTGCAGACCGCATGCGGTTCGCTCTATTCATGTGTACCGATCCCCTCGTATCTGTCAAGCCGGTTGTATCTGCAAAGAGAGTGATCACCAACTCCGATGTCCAGTTTCGCCTCAACTATGCGTCAATCACGCTCGACATCGGCCACGAAGGTGAGCCGGAATACGAGCCCAACAACTCGGACATCTTCATGTGCTTGGTGACCCAGTCACGCGAGGAGTTTCTCTACCAGACACGCAAGGTGGGTCTCACCTACCTTCATATGTATTCGCATCACTGACGATGTGTGCTAGATTGCTCTGGCCTTGACTCGATCCCTTGTAGGGTTCTTCATCGTGCTGGTCGCCGGGCTTCCCAGCCAACAGCCTGACCCTGACGTCAGCTTCAAGACCAGTGTCTTGCAGGGAGACAATGTCTGGCCTAGCGTTGAGGTTTGCTTGCTATTCTACCAACGCCGCGACTTCGACAGGTTCAAGACGCGTGTTCGTGATGGCTCGAATTTCGATCACTGGCAAGAGGACTATCATTTCATGGTACGTACGTTCCCATCTATTACCTGTCTATTGCAACTGAACCATCTACTATAGCGCTTGCTGGAGGCTAATGGAATGCCTCTCACCTCACCTCCTGAGGCCTACCTCCGCTTTCGAGCCTGTGTCAAGTCGATCATCAAGAGATATCGTTCCCTCAACAGTACCCCGCGCGCCATGGCTGGTCTGCTACACGATCGATTCAACAAAATCCGCGTTCGCGACATCACTGGGGCCATCGATATCTTCTGCGATGGCACCATAACCAGTCTGTCGACGGGTGCAATGTACGTGGGCTGCGTAATTGGGGGCGGTGCGCAAGGGGCGGAGATGATCTTTCATGCTAACGCCCGTGATCGTCCGTACTATGAAGACGGGCTCTTTCGCATCGCGTTGTATCAGTGACGGTGAGGCTCCGGTGTGCATGAACATCTGTATAGTATGATGTCTCGCAGAACGAATTTGTATTGTGGCTAGCTCGACTCTACAGGTGGGAACAATGCTTGGTCGCGGTGGGTCGGCACCTATCTGGGGATATTCGTCGCCGACCTCCTACCCGCCGACGGCATCGTCGTATCGGTGAAAACCAACAAGATCGAGGCCGATGATAGCGCCATGGTCCTCTCAGACGCTGCAGTGGCCATCCAGGTAGGGGCGGGGCACTAAGTTGCCGTCGCCTCCATGCCCAACGGTGTTGGGAAGGTGAGTCAATCGTCGTATATGCCTTTTAAAGTTTGATCAAGTCCGTGGTCGTGTAGCCTGGCCGACCGGACAAGTGTTCTTTCAACGAGCCTGGACGGGTACATGAACATGGCCCTTGAGCATACCGAGGAACACGTCGCCAGCATCCTCTACAATCGCTATGGTGATGCGTTCATTCGCGGCAACAACGGTCTGTGCTCCCGTTCGGACTCGGACTCTAACCCGCTCACGTCCGCTCAATCTCGCAGTGCCGTGTATCTCGGCCTCTGAGCCGCTTTAATCGGACAAGACAATGTCCTTATGGTCGAGCGACGCGACATGGCTATCACCCTTGCTATTTCTGTCGCGTCTGAGCAAGACGGAACACTGAGGCTGAAGATGTATCACAACCGTGTACTCTATTCGTCATGCACTCGCCCTGTAACGGAAATGGAGTGGGATACTGAACCTTCCGTCGAGACTCTCCGTCACGATCAAACCCCGGGCTGTGCTCACTGACAAGGACTTCCAGAAAGACCGCGCGAGGCAAGAGAAACGGAGGCGTAAGCGGGAGTGGGAGCGGGAGAAAAAGGCGGCGCAACTGCCGCCGCCGAAGCCTTGAAGCTTGAAGGTGAGCCTCCCGCTCCGGCGAGAGGGCAACGATTTCCAATGCCCGCTCGACTGCCGGTGGTTCAACATGATGGGGTTCCTCGGCCATTTGTGAGTACTTGCGTTCTACGTCTAGGCCTGTAATGTCGGGACCATGGCTACTTTGCTTTGTAGTGACATGAAGCACGAGGGTCGGAGTACATAAGATGACGAGGCGAGTGAAGGACGAGCTGGTGAAGAGGGCGGACGTTGCCGAATTCTGGAGGCAGTTCTGGGCGCATTGCTTGCGTCCGGATGCATATGCGTCAGGTATCTTCTTTTCCTTGCGCCTGTGCTAATTGATCGTGCGTTTCCCCCCGTAGGCCACCCGCTTTTATGTGCGGATCGACCATGAGCGTGTGTCCGGCGCGTCGGAGGACATGGAGGACGGCGAGATCGTAGAAGCTCGGAAGAGCGATAGTCCATCGGGGCAGAAACTGAGAAAGCTTCGTGATGGTCAATCAGCGTGGTGCGTAGCATAAATTCGGCGGCGAGCGTGTCGTCCGCCATTATTGGTGTGTTCAGAATAGCGAGAGCATCATGCATCTAGTGATTATGCGTATACACACTGGCTCGAAGGCCGTGAGATGGCCAATTTTAGAGACGTGTACCCTAAGCACCAGTGAGACTGAATCCGTCCAATGATAACTTCCGCTCGAAGTCCGCAGAGCGCATGTAATGCTCCAGCCGCTCGCCAGCCTCGTTTGTTATACTCTCTACACGTTATTGGCCTGCATCCATATGCACGCGCCACCAAGTGCGTACCTCGAGGTGCTGATCCTCAGGGTAGTCGGGCTCCATGGCAATACATATGAACTTGACCGAAGGCACATGTCGCGCCACTCGTTGAGCAGCGTCTTGTAGGGTCGAGTGCGATAGGGATGGCACACGGGCATGTGTTAGGCGGTTGACCATGACTCTGAAGTTGAGTCGCATACATAGGAGGCTGGAGTCGCCGTTGGACTGGGCAATGACTGGGAGGAACCATTCCTAACAGGGGAAACCATCAGTGTGAGCAGGTGAGACGGTTCACTCGGACGCACTGCCATCCACGGTGATAGGCTGTTGTCACCGTGTACATATGTGCAATCAAATGTAGCTTCGAGGTACCGCAGGTGCCCCTGAGAGCAAAGGATCGTCTGGAACACACCAGCCCAGTTGCGGAGGGGGTCGTTTTCCATGCGGCCCACCTCGTAGAAGACGAATGATAGACAAATGGGTCTTGCAGATTGCAAGGTGCTGGCGAGTTGATCAAGGGTATGATCAGGTGAACTGTACTCATACAGGTAGAGTCGACGAATTGGCGCTCTCGTAAAATGGACCAGGTCCTCGAAATCGATGGAAACGTCCACGAGAGGCACAGATGCTGGCCACATCCATTTTTGCGGTGTGAGTTGGCTGAGCTCGTTGCTCGCACACAGTGTCTGCATGTTGGGGAAGATATGGAACAATGGCAATGGCTCGCACAGGCGGGCCTCACGCACAGCAGGCAGCTGTCCAAGCTGCCCGAGCGCAAAGTGCTCGACAGCCAAATCCCGGTGCCGGGACGGCTCTGGCAAGCTATATAGCTTCACCGTGTGCACGTCGCGGAGTAAGTCGAGATGGCTCAGAGTGACGAGGTTGTCAAGGAGCGAGATTCCTGGGACAAACGAGAGCGCCACAGTTGTTGGTCGGCTCCTCATCTGTTCGGCGACGTGGAGGGTACCAGATGAGATGATATGGAAGTTAATATGCTTTAGGCCCTCTAACGATATGAGAGCGTCGCCGATGCGTGGTTCCACTTCGAGCAAAGCATCTACGGAGGTGAGGTGCAGTACGCGGAGGTTTCGTGCCGCACCAAGGAGATCTGCCAGCAGTTCGCACAGTGGCTTGGACGTGACGCGTGAAGGGTGACGGGTCCATCAGGGCGTAATACTGTACGTCGAGTTCACGCAACCAGGAGGCACGAGAGCGAGAATCGCCTAGCATGAAGGTACAGATCTTCGTGAAATGACCCGGCCGAGACGTCTCAGCACGCGACAGGACGATACACCTGGCGATGGGGTGGATAGCTCGAGACGTGAGGGAAAGACTGCGAGCGTCGTCCAGCTGGACGAACGATAGGATGATGGACCACACGTCTTCGTTCAACGTTCCGATGCGTCACGGTGAGATTGCATCCTGTCGTCAAGAATGAGCTGCAGGCGATTAGCACAGACACGCGGTAGCAAAGAGCAGCTACAACTGACGTGTGCAGCGACAACCCAACCCAGCGGTCGTCGTGGTTGTATACGTAGGATCTTAGGTAGTTGCGTGGTAGTAATGACAGTAGTGCCTCAGCCACCCGGATCGAAAACGACGAATCACGCGCACGTCCCAGGACTTACGCGCAAGCAGTCGAGCTACAATGCAGCAGCGGTAAGTACCCAAACGTGAGCACAAGCCGTGAATGCAGAACACCACGCGATCCAAATCCGGTAAAATGAGTTGCGATCAAGAATAGCGACGGCGTAAAGCTACATGTATGTTACGCTACACGGCAAACACAAATGATCCATACAAATACAACATTCCTTTCGCAACCGCGCACGCAGCCTCAGACCCGCCGCTCACGCAGACACGTCAAACGCCGAGCTCTGCCACCCGTCCCTCCCGCGCTCCTCCTCCGTCTTCCTCTCAACTGCTTCCCCAAACCCACGCACCTTCCTCACGCCCTCCTTCACGCCCTCCTTCGCCTGCTCCGCCACACCCTTCAGCTGCCCGCCCGTCTCCGCCGCCGCCTCCTTCTTCCCCTCGAGATCATACCGCTCCGCGACCGACTCACTCAGCGTCCCCTTCGGGCCCCGCTTCTCGCCCCCCAACACCTGCGGTTCCGCCCCCATCGCGAACTGCGCCTCCCCGTCCCGCTTCACCACGCCGGTCCCCGTCGCGCGCCACCCGCCCAGCACGCCCCCACCCTCGCCGGTCTTCCGCAGGTGCCCAAGCTCGCTCCAGAACCCGGCAACGAGCGCAGCCCCCCGCCCGAGCCCCGCATCCCCGAACACGTCCGCGCGCTTGCCCACATCCCAGAGGAGCGCGTCCGCGGCCTCGATCGCCGCGCGCACCTGCTGCTCGAGCACCACCCGCAGCGCGTCCCGGAACCGCCCTACCATCACCGGCCGGAACACGCTCACGAGCACCGAGTGGTTGCTCTCCGTGACGCGCACCTCCACGTCCTCGCTCACCCGCGCCTCCACCCGCTGCACCTCGAGGAACCCGCCGCGCCGCGCGCGCTCCTTCAGGCCCTCCGCCGAGTTCGGGATGCTCCGCACGACGACGTCCAGGTCGATGCCCTGCGGCGGGAGCGTGAACGCGAGCATGCCCGTGAACTCCGCGGGCCCGACCGCGGCGGTCTTGTCCTTGTAGTAGAAGCTCACCTCCCGCAGCGCGAGGTGCAGCGCCTGGATGTAGATCCGCGTGAGCGACCCGACCGCGGTGTTCGTCTGCCCGCTCGACGGCGCCTGGATGTCGATGTCCGTGATGTTCCGGATGTACGCGTGCCCGGGCAGCAGGCCGAAGCTTGATATGTCGAGGTCCTCGAGCACGAACTCGACCTCGCTGTCCTTGTATTCCGTCCTGCATTGAATGTGAGGGTTTTGCTACAGCTTCCGCACGCAGACTTACCTCGGAATCGGGATGTCCTTGAGCATCCCGACGGCCTTGGGCAGGTAGAAGTTGAACAGGTCCTGCCAAAACCACGGCGCCTTCTCCATGAGTGTCTGCAAGCCCGCGCTGCCCGCCACGACGAGGCTCTCCTCGATGTCGTCCCCGAGCTGTCGGTGAGCCGTCCTGACCTTGCGCAGCTCCTCGTCCCGCTCCATCGCCTGCTCAAACTCCGCCGCCTCGCGCCGGAACTCCCCCACGTCTTCCTTCCACTTCCGTCCCTCGTCCGAGTCCTTGTCCGCGAGCTCGCGCCCCTCCCTCCGCAGCGCCTCGCCCCGCTCCTTCGCCTCCTCGCTCCGCACGTACCCCTGCTCATCGACGCACTTGCGCGCGTGCTCGAGCGCGGAGTCGCACCACGAGCGGATGCTCTCGTCCTGCTGCACGTCGACGCCGCACACGCGGACCGCGCCGAAGAGGCCGTCGAGGCTCTTCCCGCCCGCGAGCCGCTCGAGCACTGCGCGCAGCCCGCGGATGCCCTGGAGGAGGTGCTGCTCTGGCGTCGGGTCGTTGATAAACGCCTCGAGGGACGTGTCCCGGTTGACGTCGCCCGCGCTGTCGAGGCTGCGGTGGATCCACTTGTGGGCGACGTCGAAGAGCGTGGAGACGGCAGAGTGGTACTGCTCGTCCTCTTGCGCACGGTCGCAGATCTGGGGAGAGGTGAGTTCTTCGTCCGAACGATGGAGTGAAAAAGGCGCACCTTGTTGAACGCATCCTCCAGACGCGTCGTCGTGCGGTTCGCGACGTCCTCGGCGGTATCAACCGCTGCCTGGCCCGCACCGATCGCCTTCCCCCCCACCACCTTCGTCTTGTCCATCCCGCGCTCGAACTTTGCGCGCGCATCCTGGTCTTCCTCCTCCACCTCGTCGGCCTTGCGCTTCCGCACCCCGACCTCGTTCCGCTCGCCCGCGTCGACCTGGCTGTCGAGCTCGCGCAGCCCTTCGGCAGTCTTGTGCGCACCGTCAGCAACGTACTCTGCGGCGTCCGCAAGGGCGAGGCGGCTGAAGGACGCAAAGTCGTGGAAGACGCTGCGTCCCTCCTGGGCGATGTTCTCGCCGACGACGGAGACGAGCGTGCGGAGGGCACGGGCGAGGTTGCGGGCGTCGCGGTGAGCCTGGTCGGTGTCGACGTCGACGTTGGCGGTGGTGGAGGAGAGGTCGGCGGCGGAGAGGTGCCAGAGGGATTCTTGCAGGAGGTTGTCGCCTGGCACGAAGTATGAGTATGAAACGTAGATGAGAAATGACGAGCTACCCACCGTTCTTGCTCTCTCCAAGCTGCTTCCAGGCGACGAGAACGTCGCGGAGGCCGTTCTGGAGGGCCTTGCCTTGCTGGCTGAGCTCCGAGCCGCCGTCGGCGGAGGGGTCTGCGCGGAGGACGGCGGAGTCGAGGGCAGCGTCGACCCAGGTGGCGAGCTGCGCGGAAGAGGGGATCTTGCCGGCGTTGAGGGCAGCGAGTACAGAAGAGGCCTTGTCCATAGTTGTTCGTTAGTTACTGGTGCGTTTATAAGTCGTGAGCCGTGCGGGTCGTGAGTCTGTTGGGCGGCGACTCACCTCTGCGCCCGCCCTTATATATACCCTCGCGCGCGCTGGGCCCGGCGCACCACGGTGAGGCGTCGGTGACGTAGGGACGCAGCGGGGGGATCGGGCAGACAGGCGGCTCCTGCGCCAGAGCCACCTGCCACGCCCTGCCCGTCATCGTCATCCTCCAGTCCCGCCACTTGCTCAAACGGGCCGTGCTGCGCGTGAGTGGCTGGTCGTCCAGTCGTCCTCGTCGCTCGAGAGTCTCTGGCGTCGACAGCGCTGCATAGCTATGGGGAGGAGGAAGAGGAGACGTAAGTAGATGCTGTCAGTGTCACGGTCACCGTCGACTCGTCGTCCAAACACGTGACACGTGACCGTGCCGCCTCGCCCGATTGGGAAGGGGTCAGTAGTGGAAAATACACAGGACACAGTGCTTGCATGCACAGGTATGAGGTCCAGGATCTCCGGGAGCTTACCGCGCTGGTGGTACATGCATCGCTCTCGAAACACACCCTGGCAGCGGTCAGGTGGGCGACGGCGGTCTTCAAGTTTCCACCCACAAGCGATTTTCCACCGAGACACTGGCACTGTAGGCCACTGGCAGCGCCACGGGTACTGGGGACGATATGTATCGTATAGTATAAGTATGAGGCCGCGGTAGAAGACGTGTATCAGCCTAGTTCTCAAGTACACCGCACAATATCTACATGCCTAAGACCGAGTTTGCGGTGAGCACGACTGGAGCCAGCTGCGGAGTTGATATCTGACTTCTTCGCCCTTCTTGTCCAGAAAGGAGATCTTGTGTATCTGAGCAGGCGTGAGATGGTGCAATGTACACTTCAGGACATCGACGAGGAGGTCCGCCGCCAGCCATGGAAAATCGTAGACAACTTGAAGGAGCCTGAGACAGTGAGCGAATTTTCGCGGCTACTTACTTCGCTCGACGGCTCAAATATCGATCAGTCCGGCCTCCAGATTCGCAGCACTTGCAGGAGAAGCAACTTCACCCGCACCGTGCCCAAGGGAGACCTGTCAAGTGAGTGTCATTTGACGATTTCCTCGTAACGTCAGTCGACCAAACTCTCCGCACGCCGTTGATCAGATACATGGGCGCCGGATCGTCGGTGCTGGATTGTGGACGACGGGAAGCGGTGCTACCTGTTGATCTGTTTGAAGTATGCTACGCTCATGGGGCAGAAGCTATTAGCGTTACCGCCTCCAGCCCGGTGCGCTAGAGTACAGGGCGCTCAAATGTCAGCCGGATCGTTACTTTCTACTTCGTGATTCCGGGAAGCTATGTACATGGTGCGCAGTCGTGTCAATCCGTGGCGCGCCGCAGGTTGAATGGCATGGCAGGGTGATCCAGTATGTTACGTCTCGTAAGGGCGTATTTCAACACTTCTCTACATCCCGGGCTGCAAAGGTCAGGAATTGCGAACCCACTTGCTGACGATGTACCATTGTCTTCTCCACCGTTGCGCAGAATCGATGTTTCCGAAAAGTATGTATTCTACGGGCGGCCTGAGGCCGCCCGAGCAAGAAGTTGCTGCCGACGTACATACGTTGACCGTCCGGCAGAACGCCCTCGGAAGCGCGCGAGACGTAGTCCCCACTGCCGGCCAAACCGGAGCCTGTACTGGATCTCCATGTCTGCAGGTATATAAGTAGTGTGCATATGGGCCAGGATCAACATCTCCTCACCGCTGATTTCGACCTACACCCAGCTACAGTATACGATGGCCGCGAAGACGTACCTGACCCGAAAGCTCGGTGCGAATGGACCCGCCGTCAGCGCAATAGGATTCGGACATGGGTGAGGCATTGTGACGGTTTGCACCTCATGCAATGGGCTGATGTCGACGTCCAGTGTTGGCACATACTACGGTCAGACGGACAGCGAGGAAGTGTTCAAGACCCTCACCTATGCGGCTGATCGTGGTGTTACCTTTTGGGACACGTCTGACGTCTACGGATCCAGTGCGTAAATCAGTATACACCCCAAGAGATGGCGGTCACTGAGCTCTTGTCTGCAGGCGAGGAACTATCGGCAAGTGTTCTCCACGACGGCCGGCGTTCGGAGGTCTTCCTGCGACCAAGTTCGGATCGTGGACATAAATTGGTCGCGAAACAGATATACAAGCAGAACAGCAAGCCCGCATACATCCGGCAGCAACTCGAAGCCTCGCTGAAGAAGCTGCAGACGGAGTGGGTCGACTTGTACTACCAGCACCGCGTCGACCCCGAGGTCCGATCGAAGGTTAGTTGGTCCAGACCACTCCCACGTACCGGCGTTGATCACGAACGACGCAGTTGTGATGGAGACCTTGGGCGAGCTCGTCAAGAGCGGTAAGATCAAGTACATCGGGCTGAGCGAGTGCAGCATCGACGTCTTGCGGCGGGCCAAGGCGGTGCCTTTTGCCGGCGAGAAGCTTGTCGCGTGCCAGATGGAGTTCAGCCCGTTCGAGGTTGGCATTGAGAAGTCCGGCTTCGTCGCTGCCGCTCGCGAGCTGGGTGTGGCCGTCGTGGCTTACTCCCCTCTTGGGAGAGGCATGATCACCGGCCGGTCAGTCATTTCCTTCAAGTTTTTTTGATTCATAACACGAGCTTACCGCGGGCGACGGAGCCAGTTTCAAATCGCGGGCGGAGTTCGAGCCCGCAGACATCCGCCAGATGATGCCACGCTTCGCGGACGAGAACTTCCCCAAGAATCTCGGAGTCGTCGACGAGTTCCGCGCGATCGCGTCCAAGTACAGCGTCACGCCTGGCCAAATCGCGCTCGCGTGGATCCTTGCTGAGCACCCGGACTTTGTGCCGATCCCAGGGACCCGCACGGTGGAGCGGCTCGAGGAGAACGCGAAGGCGGCTGAGATCACGCTGAGTCTGGAGGACGTGAAGGCTCTGAGGACGGCTGTGGAGGCTGCTGACGTGCAGGGGGAGCGGTTCCCAGCGCAGTTCGCGAGCTTGATGCATGCGGAGTGTATCTCGCTTGACGAGTGGAAGGGCGAGTAGTAGGTGTGCGTTGATCGACGATGAGATATGTTTCGACGGCGTTCGCCGTTTTGCAAGCCTCAGGGAAGCTAGTGCGTTGCGCACACCATGTGAAACATGGACACACTTCCATCGCCTGCCGGGCCGCTAGTAGTCATAAGGCGCCAGGCTCCTGACCCTCAAGCTGTACGTTGCCACCATCTGTCTGAAACACAGTGGAATACACTCGATCGCTTTGGAAACTGTTAGTACTCCAGCTCCTTTGGTCTCTGGTACGAGATGGTTAGTCTTTCGCCAGGCTCGGCAGGCCGTCCCAAGTCCGACTACGCGGTTCGTGGGTGCCATGATCAAATACAGAATCTGTCACTGAAATCCTCGACAGCCTTCTGAGATCGATGACTTGACGGACGAGGAAATTGAAGACCTTATAGGTTGTTCAGCGCAGAAGTACCCAGAGCGGATTGCCTTCGGTGATCACCACATAACACGTGTCACTGATACCATCGTGTCAAAGTTTGGTCAAGATGTGGAGGAGGATGTCGCAGAGCCGTCCGAGGCTTTGACACTCGACCTCGTCTTTCGCCACACGACGATACCGGTTCCGCGCGTCAGACGCATAATCAGGGATCCTATTGGCATAACTTTAATCCTCATGGACTACATTCCTGGACGACAGTTGTCCGTCGTCTGGCCTACCATGTCCCTCGAGGAACGCCTCTGTGTTGTGTTCACCCTCCGCGATTACGTGCGCCAACTGCAGGCAGTTCGCCACCCCCGCTCGGCGGTGCCAGGCCCGGTAGCACCAGGCGACGAGGCTCGCACTTGCGAGTCACCGGTGTGGGGTCAACTCATAGAACGCCGTGGTCCATTCACCTCTTACCGCGACTTCTCCATCTGGTGCGATCGGGCTCAGCGCGTCGGCATCGACCTGCTGAAGAAGAAACCGAGATGGACCACGTCAGACTTGCGATTCGAACCATTCGACACGATCATGGGCTCGTCGCCATTCGTGCTATGCCATCAGGACCTCAACATGCGTAACATCATCGTTGGCGATGACGGCCGGCTATGGCTGGTCGATTGGGCATGGGCGGGCTTCTATCCACCCTGGTTTGAATACATCTCCATGAAGGAACAATCGGAGAACGAGGAGTCGGTGATGCATCGAAAGGAGCCCTTCTGGGATCTAATGATCCCATTCATCTGCCGTCCATATTATCGGGAGGAGCGGTGGTTGCAGAAGGTCATGCCTGCGTTTCTTTACAAATTCGAACGCGACAGCAGAAATTTGGCTGAAGACTATCGTACTTGTACAACAGGTTAAGTATGGGGTCTCAGGCTCATCATGATGGCATGGCGTACTAGCGCGGACAAACGCGCCTCATTATTGCGTACACAACAGACTCGATTATGTAATCGATCGTTGAGTCGTAAGACCTTACATGGCTCCTAACTAGTATGACGAATCGACGGTCATGGAAGCAACTGACCAACTGTGTAGGATCTCTTCTCTCTCGTGCCCCCTGACATTCATCCAGTACTATGATGCGCCCGAGATCAGATTATGAGGTTCGTATGTCGCGGCACCTTCACTAGAACTCCAGTTGATTTTACTTCCAGGCCTCCAGCATTGACCATCTGCGAGACGAAGAGATTTTGGACCTCGTGATACATGCACGAGAGAGGTTTCCTGAACCCATCGTTGACGATGATCATGTCATCCGCATCGCCCACGATATCGTAGCTAAGGTTGTCGACTCGGAGGAGCAGTCTTCCGAAGCCCTCGCTCTCGATCTTGTGTTCCACCACACAGAAATACCTGTCCCCCGCGTCCGGCGCATCATCAAGGAGAGTCCTGCCCCAGGCCTCGAGCTCACTCACATATGCATGGACTACATACCCGGACGACAACGATCCGTTGTCTGGCCAAAAATGACTCTCGAGGAGCAACTCTGCGTCGTGTTCACTCTACGTGAGTACGTGCGCCAGCTGCAAGCCATTCGCCACCCCCGCTCCGCCGTACCAGGCCCAATCGCTCCGGCCCGCAGCCAGGCTCGTCAATGCGTCTCGCCTATGTTTGGCCCCGCAATAGACCGACGAGGCCCGTTCGCATCGTACGGCGAGCTGTCTGCGTGGTTCGACAAGGCGCAACGCCTTACGCTCGAGATCAAGGAGGCGCAGCCTGGGTGGGAACACATTCACTTTGAGTCGTTCGATACTGTCGCGGCTTCCTCAGCCCTCACGCTCTGCCACCAAGACCTCAACATGCGCAACATCATCGTCGGCGACGACGGCCGGCTGTGGCTCGTCGACTGGGCGTGGGCCGGGTTCTACCCGCCGTGGTTCGAGTACCTCGCCATGAAAGTGCAGACGGCCCACGAGGAACGGCTGATGAATCGCAAGGAGCCCTTCTGGACTTTGATGGTCCCGTTCATCTGCCGTCCGTATTACCGGGAGGAGCGGTGAATGCGTCGCGTGTATGCAGCATGATATTATCGTTTTCACAGGAAGCTATGAGTTCTGCCGTGTTCGCCGCTCCCTCTACTTGTGTTACAGCACCACTGAATCCACAACCCCGGCTTACTTCTGGTTCACCGAAAATGCACTCGAAAAGATAAGCGCCAACCCCGTATACTGCCATTTTGATGAGATATGCGTACTGTCGCTACTGATCAACTGCTCAACGATACCACATACCATTTACCATACCGCGGAACCACTTGTCTTGCCGATAATATGGTCCGCAAATGAACGGGACCAGTAAATCCCACAACGGCTCCTTCCTGTCCACCACCGTCTCCTCGTGGCTAGACTGTATCCTCATCGCCACGTACTCGAACCAGCGCGGGTAAAAACCCGCCCACGCCCAGTCAATGAGCCACAGCCTCCCATCCTCCCCGACGATGATATTGCGCATGTTGATGTCTTGATGGGTGAGCACGAGTGGCCCCCGGTCGTCGAACGGGTCCGCGCGCACGCGCGCTTTGGCTTGCGCTGGGCCGACGCGCTGGGCGACGAGCGCGATGCGGTAGCGATCGTTGAAGAACGCTGCGAGCTCGTCAAGAGACGCGAACGGCCCCCTCCAATCGTACTTCGTGTCAAACAGCGGCGAGCTGCATTTGCGTGCGGGATGACCGAGCGGTGCGACCGGGCCTGGTATGGTCGACCGCGGGCGTCGGATGGTGCGCAGTTGGCGGACGTAGTCATGTAATGTGAAAACTACGCGGAGTTTCTTCCACAACGGCATCTCTGGCCAGACGTGCGATAGCTGACGTCCCGGAATGTAGTCCATGACGATGAACTGCGAGCTTCTGCCTTGGATGACACGCCGAACACGTGGAACCGGGATGGCGGTGTGCTGGAAGACGAGCTCGAGGGTCAGAACCTCGGAGGGAGTCCCTACGGCTTCTTTGTCTTGAGCGGCCTTGCTGACGGTTCCAGGAGTAAGACGGCGGATTAACTCGGCCCCGATAGCATTGGACTGCTGGCTGAGCCGTGGCGCTGTCTGATTAAGCTGAAAAAGTTGTTCCTTCGTCAAGTCATCGATATCTGACGACTGCATCCCGGATTGTGAAGTTGCAGCGATTCGGCGAAGGATAAGGAACGTACCGCGTAGTCAGACGCGGGACGTCTCGAATTCCGCTTTGGATCATGCTGGTGCTGCATGGTGTGTGCAAAAACGGAGGTTCTGTGTGAGGAGCAAAAGTGAGAGGCATTGTACAGGAGCGGTTGGGCCGACACCCACAAACATCAGTAAGAACAAACAGCGTGGAGGTCGGCGGGTGCGGTAGCATGCTATACAATTACCGCGATCTGTACGGCTGGACCGACAGAGTCAACCATTCTGCTGCGAGGGGTCTGCGACAGCTTGAGAGGAACCTGCCGGCCGCCGGTCAGAGTGTGCTCGCTGCCAAACGACCTCGCGCTGAAATTGAGTGGCCTGGTCTCCGTATGAATGCATGTAGTGGAATAGGCCGTTGCGCATGAGCTTCAACTTCTGGTACGTATCGGATGCAGACGCTGAGCGCTCAGGCCCACCGGGCCTAGAGGTGACCGTTGGTACTTACCGATCACTAGCACTGCCGCCGATGGCAGCTGCGACGCTCAAGCTCGACCCGCCGCGCAACGACTGCTTGGGAGCGCGAGCAAGAGTGTGTTCGGATGAGGGGCGAAAGAGACGCCGAAAGGGCACTGTGGCCATCATTTGAACTTGTAAGGGCGACGTGCAGTCACGCCCTTTCGGACGCGGCGACACCACGGATGTTTGTCACGTTGAGACCTGCTGTGTATCTTCTTGGACTTGAATCTACACGCATAAGCAACGACCTCAATAGCGGAGTGCTTCGGTCGTTTATTTAACCGAGTTTGGGTGGCTGAGCCACTTCTACTACCACCACGCAACCACGAGGAGCACTGGGTTACCGCTGCACACGTCAGTCATACATAGCTGCTCTCTGCCAGCTCGTGTCTGTACTAATCGCTTGCAGCTCTTTCTTGACGACGGAATGCAATCCCACCGTGACGCATCGGGGTTGAATGAAGACGTGTGGTCCATCATCCTATCGTTCGTCCAGCTGGACGACGCTCGCAGTCTTTCCCTCACGTCTCGAGCTATCCACCCCATCGCCAGGTGTATCGTCCTGTCGCGTGCTGAGACGTCTCGACCGGGTCATTTCAGGAAGATCTGTACCTTCATGCTAGGCGATTCTCGTTCTCGTGCCTCCTGGTTGCGTGAACTCGACGTAACCTATTACGCCCTGGTGGACCCGTCTCGCTTCACGTCCAAGCCACTGTGCGAACAGCTGGCAGATCTTCTTGGTGCGGCACGGAACCTCCGCATACTGCATCTCACCTCCGTAGATGATTTGCTTGCAGTGGAACCACGCATCGGCGACGCTCTCATATCGTTAGAGGGCCTAAAGCATATTAACTTCCGTAACATCTCATCTGGTACCCTCTACGTCGCCGAACAGATGAGGAGCCGACCAACAACTGTGGCGCTCTCGTTTGGCTCAGGAACCTCGCTCCTTGACAACCTAGTCACTTTGAGCCATCTCGACTTACTCCGCGATGTGCACACGGTGGGGCTATACAGCCTGCCAGAGCCGTCCCGGGACTGGGATTTGGCTGTCGAGCACTTTGCGCTCGGGCAGCTTGGACAGCTGCCTGCTGTGCGTGAGGCCCGCCTGCGTATGTGCGAGCCATTGCCACTCTTCCACGTCTTTCCCAATATGCAGACACTGCGTGCGGATGCCGAACTCAGCCCACTCACACCGCAAAAATGGATGTGGCCAGCATCTGTGCCTCTCGTGGACGTTACCATCTCATTCGAGGACCTGGTCCATTTCACGAGAGCGCCAATTCGTCGACTCTACCTGGAGGAGTACTCCTCATGTGATCATACCCTTGATCAACTCGCCAGCACCTTGCAATCTGCAAGACCCATTTGTCTATCATTCGCCTTCTACGGGGAGGGCCGCATGGAAAACGACCCCCTCCGCAATTGGGCTGGTGTGTTCCAGACGATCCTTTGCTCTCAGGGGCACCTGCGGTACCTCGAAGCTACATTTGATTGCACATACGTATACGGTGCCAACAGCTCATCACCGTGGATGGCAGTGCGTCCGAGTGAACCGTCTCACCTGCTCACATTGATGGTTTCCCCTGTTAGGAATGGTTCCTCCCGGTCATTGCCCAGTCCAACGGCGACTCCAGCCTCCTATGTATGCGACTCAACTTCACAGTCACGGTCAACTGCCGAACACATGCCCGTGTGCCATCCCTCAGGCTATTGCACTCGACCATACAATCCTCCGCTCAACGAGTGGCGCGACATGTGCCTTCGGTGCAGTACATATGCATTGCCATGGAGCCCGACTTCCCTGAGGATCAGCACCTCGAGGTACGCACTTGGTGGCGCGTGTGTATGGATGCAGGCCAACAACGTGTAGAGAGTATAACAAACGAGGCTGGCGAGCGGGTGGAGCATTACATGCGCTCTGCGGACTTTGAGCGGAAGTTATCATTGGACGGATTCATTCTCACTGGTGCTTAGGGTACACGTCTCTAAAATTGGCCATCCCACGGCCTTCGAGCCAGTGTGTATACGCAAATGTATAGATGCATGATACTCTCGCTATTCTGAACACACTAATTATGGCGGACGACACGCTCGGCGCCGAATATATGCTACTGGAGAGATCACTGCTACCCTCGCACGCACCACGCTGATTGACCATCACGAAGCTTTCTGCCCCGACTCTGGACTAAGTACCGCTCTTCTGAGCTTCTACGATCTCACCGTCCTCCATGTCCTCCGACGCACCGGATACACGCTCATAGTTGATGATGTATGCTCAAGGGTTATGTTCATGTACCCGTCCAGGCACGTTGAAAGAACACCTGTCCGGTCGGTCAGGCTACACCTGAGTGTGCTCGGATGAATGCCAAGGGAAGGGTCGAAAGAGACGCCGAAAGGCCCGCACTGTCACGGTGGCCACTTGAACTTGTAAGTTTCGGACGCAGCACCACGGATGTTTTTCACGTTTCGCTCGACTTGTCATGGAATCCTCAGGATCGGACGGTCGACCTCGGTCTGACTATGCGGTTTGTCGCAGTTTCATTCAACGTAGTGTCCGCTGATCCGGCTCACTTTCCAGTTCGTTATAGCCATCAAGCATCGACCACTTGACGGACGCGCAGCTCGTCCGCGCTATCGCGCAGGGCAGAAAGACATATCGCGGACGCCGCATCGCGTTCGGCGACCACAACGTCAGCCGCGTCGACGAAACCACCGTCGCGAAGTACTCAGGCTGTCCGGAGGACTACGCCACGCAGCCGTCCGAGGCGCTGACTCTCGACCTCGTCTTCCGCCGCACGACCATCCCCGTCCCGCGTGTCCGGCGGGTCGTCACCGAAATGAACCAGGGCCCGATCACTTGGATTGTTATGGATTACATTCCAGGGCGACAACTGTCTGCGGTCTGGCCTGCAATGTCCGTCGAAGAGCGGCTTCGTGTCGTATTCACGTTGCGCGACTATGTGCGCCAGCTGCGCGGCATCCGGCACCCCCGCGCTGCTGTTCCAGGCCCGCTCTCGTCGGGTGACGACGCGCTCCAGTGCACGTCGCCCGTCTTTGGAAAAGTCATAGAGGAACGCGGCCCCTTTGCGTCGTACGCAGAGTTATCTGCCTGGTTCGACCACGCGCAGCGTGTTGTAGCCAGGAACCTGAATGCGAAGAAGCACCCTCAACCAGTGTCGTTCGACGCTGTGATGGGGACGTCCTCGCTCGTGCTCTGTCATCAAGACCTCAACATGCGCAATGTCATCGTCGGCGATGACGGGAGGCTCTGGCTCGTCGACTGGGCGTGGGCGGGCTTCTACCCGCCGTGGTTCGAATATCTCGCGATGAAGGAACAGTCGAAGAACGAGGAGATGGTCATGGAGCGGAAGGAGCCCTTCTGGGATCTCATGATACCGTTCATTTGTGGCCCGTTCTACCGTGAAGAGGAATGGATGCATAGCTCCGTCAACAATGCACTCGGCTACCGCTTCGAGAGTACCCCTTGAGTAGTAGTGTCCTGCATCGAGTTCGTATTTTCCACGTGTACAATATAAATGTCTCTCAATTGGCACTGTAAACGTGATTGATACTCCATGTGTGACTGCCAATCATTCCATCTTGTATCACACACGGATGCCGTGTGTAACAACAGAGACAGGACGAGCGGGACAAAACGCGGTTCGTTCAATACGGATTAGTATATCTCCACCCGTATGCAATACGCGCCATGATCGCTGGAACAGTCGTGAACAGGGTAGACACTGCTCACAGGCCCGGGCTGCCCGCGCCGGCTGGCTCGCGTTGACCGATCTTCGACACATATTCTTAGCTCCGGTGTGCTCGTAAGAATGCCGCCGCGGGAGCTCGTTACCGCTCTGAAATGTGTCAGCAAGGATGAGCGAGAAACGGCATTGGTATATACTGTAGGCCCCTAGGGGATTGTGATCCGGGGATGATGGCGCTTACAGGGACGAGCTGTGGTCAGAACAAGACATGATCGAGTCCGACATCATGCAGAACGGTAGACGATATGTCAGGAGCCAGGGTGCTACGCGAGAACAACTCACTAAACAGGCGACCATCTGAATTGGAGAAGAGCGTGTACACCTTGAGCGGCGGTGCAAGAAACGTCCGATGATGTGGCGAAATAAGCCGCCACGAACATGCCCCCATACCGAGGCCAGGCGATATCTGAAGGAGTGAACCGCCACACCATACGCTTTCGTGAGGTCCAAGATAGCCGGTCACTCCTGTCGCCTCAACTGGAAGGATCCACACGAACACTTACCGGCACGCTGGCGTAAGAGTTGCGTCCGTTAAACCCTCGAGGCGTGGCGAGTCGCGCACCGACAATCTCAGACATCCGAAGTGACCGATGGGCCGCCAGTTGGACGGTGCGATGGAGTCTATTGAATGTGCGTCGAGGGTGCCTGCAGGCACACAGGACAATACGGGAGACTTACGAGGCCTCAACTGCGAATTGACCACCATGGCTTTGGTGCGTGTATGCACCAGTTCTTGTGCTTCCGACCGCGAGTCAACACTCAAAAGATGATCCTGAAGCACGGCCCGCATGACAGTAGTGAGAGGAATCTATAGCTGGAAGCCGTTACACACCGAACTACATTCCCGACCGCGCGGTGTGGTCTTTCACGTAGGCTACCGACCAGAGTTTCCAGCTAGGTCCATATCGTTGGGCCCCGCACGGAAAGTGCGCATAGGAGCGGGGGTCGTCGGACGTTGGTATTTGGTGATCCGGACAGGACCCCGGGCAAGGCGCTTATACGTCCGATCCTGGTGCGGCCATAACCAGCCCAAATAGGGCGCTCATGTCCGATCCTGGTGCGGCCATAGACCTGCCAGAGCTCGCGCCATGTCCGATCCATATGCGGCCATAGATGCTGTCACGTTCGCATGTCCTATCCGTATGCGGCCATAAATTGACCTCGTGGTCGCCTTTGACGGCGAAGCCAGTATCGCGAGATTGGTACGTAGCATACTTCACGTCGTGGATCTCTCAGCTAAGCAATGCTACTAACTTCTGTGGATGGCATCGCGGGTGATGGTATCTGCTCGGGCCTGGAAGATAACTTACTGATTCGCTACGATGATCGCATGCAGCTGCTTGTTATGATTGGGACCCCGGAATTGCAGATTCTCTGAATGCGTCCGTCATGTGGGACTTGGTAGACTGGCCAAGCTTGTATTGTACTACAATGTGAGTCTCGCCTCCTGTTTACAGAATACTATACATAGCTGTATTCACGCTGCATTCATGCACCGCAGTGTAGGATTTACGCGCGCAACGCGTCTCATTAGCCTCTCTCGCAGATCACGCGCCGATGGCTCGACACGGACACATGAAGATTGCTAGTAGGGTGCGTTCGACCTGGTTTGGCTGACCAAGATACAGGAGACTAAAGCATCTCGTTCTTCGAAGGCTACCACTTGTCCGGAGACACGTACGCGTTCTTCAAGGCGGGGGCCACTCAATCATTGTGCCTGACATGCTTGGCTACGGCGGCATGGACAAGCCGGCGGAGACAACAAACACAGCGCGATATGCGCGGACGTGAGAACGTGAGCAAGGCGATCGTGACAGAACACCAGAACACCACTGGTGAGTGCTTCAGTAGCTGGGAAAAGGGCATCCGACGCTGCACGTCTCATTGAGACGCGATGTGGTCGTAGTGGTACCGCTTGGGCCAGGTTCAGCCAGAGCAACTGGCCCGTAGGATGTTGGCTACCCAGGCATACTGGCCAAGTGTTTGACTCGCAGGGGCGCATTTCTCGTACTCTACCGAGAGCGTTTTCTCGCATTCGCATTCGTCTCGGTCGGCTACACGCCATTGTTCGCGAGCTTCAAATATGCGACTGCCATCGCCGCGGTCAAGCAATCCATCGGTCACGAGCCTTAGGGCCACTGGCAGTGACCAGCTACAAACAATCTCACAGTCGACCTCATTCTAAAGATGCGCCAGGTTCTTCGTCGACCTCGAGTACCAACCAAGTCATGAAGGACCATATCAGTACTCCTGACCTCCCATGTTCGCTATCATCTCGCAACCGACTGGCTTGCCCGCTTGATTGTCTCTCACCATCCGTGTCAATTAGCGACTACTCTTGTGACGCGCCACCTAGAGTACATTCGTACTTACGAATGTTGGGCGCTCGAGATATGGTACTCGGCGCTTATGCGTATGTGCTACTCATGCAACCGTTTTGACGATAAAGGGGGACAAATGTGGGCGTTTTCCTTGGTAGTCTACTCCGACGCAATGTGTAGGGCATGCAGCGATTTTTTGGGCATTTTCTCCGATTTTACCGCATTTTTGAGAGGTCCGATCCGTCATGCGGCCATAAAGCACCCCTACAGGTAGGTCCTATCCTGATGCGGACATAACAGGGGTCAAAATCGTGCGGACATAAGGGCCCAAAATCCGGGGTTTTCGGATCGGACCTATAAGCGCCTTGCCCGGGGTCCTATCCGGACATTGTGCCGCTCGACCTGGGCCGCCTAGCCAAGGTCGCGGCTGCCTGGCTCAGCCTGGCCGTCAAAATTCCGCTGCGCCCGGCGTGATCCCATATCAAACCCGCTGGACTCCGCCTATGTGTGTTTGAAAGGCGCGGGGCCCAACGATATGGACCTAGCTGTCAGTGGTCTAAGCGGAAGTCGGCCGACTCGGAGTCGTGTGCTGCACTGCGAGACAGTCTCAATCTGAGACTAAGGCTGGGCTGCTGAGTGACCCAGCACGACAATAGGCCGTTGCGCATGAATCGGATGCAGACGCTGAGCGCTGAGGCGCAGGCCTAGACCATTGGGACCGATCGCTGCCGCATCGGCAGCTGCGACGCTCGACCCGGCGCGCAACGACGGAAGTCGACTGCTTGGAGCGCGAGGAGGAGAGTGCTCGGATGAGAGCCGAGGGCAGTACGTCGTCGAACACAGCGAAGAGGAAGGCGCAGACTGGCGCCCATTATCGAATACGGAGCGGATGATGAGGGACCTACGTCATACATCGATCGCCCTCCAGTCCGCCCAGCCCGTGCTCGCCGTGCTGCTCGTCGCTGGCCGCGGCGGTGGCGGCGACCAGGGCTGCGGGCTCGTCGAATGGGACACGAGAGTCCTCGAGGGCAGTGGGGGTGGGGAGAGGAAGGCGTGGAGAGCGAGGATGGAGGCATGACGGGATGCTGACATAAGCAGGGCCGCTCCACGGGTCTTTTGGGAGGGCTGCGAGCATTGAGACTGCCACCACCGCGACAACCGAGCCGCGTCCATCCTCTCCTCCCCTCTCCGCCACTCCGCTCACCATGTCCTTCGTCAAGCTCAGCATATTCGGCACCTCCTTCGAGGTGCGCCCACTCCTTTTCTCCCGCGTCTGCCCCGCTCACCCCCTCCTCACCCCAGGTCACGACTCGCTATGTCGACCTCCAACCTGTCGGCATGGGTGCGTCCGTCCTCCTCTCCCCGTCCATCCTATGCTCACGCCGTATATCCAGGTGCCTTTGGGCTCGTATGGTCCGTATCTCCCCTCCCCTCACGCGCCCCACCCTGACCCGCGTCTCCAGTTCGGCAAAGGACCAGCTCACAAACTCGTCTGTCGCGATCAAGAAGATCATGAAGCCCTTCAGCACCCCCGTCCTCTCCAAACGCACCTACCGCGAGCTCAAGCTCCTCAAGCACATACAGCACGAGAACGTCCGTCTCCTGCTCCCCCCTTTTCGCCCCGCTCACCCCTCCGCAGATCATCAGTCTGCTAGATGTATTCATCTCTCCATTAGAGGACATGTACGCCCCATCCCTTCGTCCTAGACACCCGCTGACGGCCATCCAGTTACTTCGTCACCGAGCTTCTAGGCACTGATCTCCACCGTCTGCTCACCTCCCGCCCACTCGAAAAACAATTCATCCAGTACTTTCTCTACCAAATCCTCGTACGTCTTTCCACCGCCCGCCCGCGCACACTCTGACCACCCCCCAGCGCGGCCTCAAATACGTGCACTCCGCAGGCGTCGTACATCGTGACCTCGTGCGTCCCTCCCGCGCCTCCTCCGCCCCTCTAACCCCCCTCCCCAGAAACCGAGCAACATCCTCATCAACGAGAACTGCGATCTCAAGATCTGCGACTTTGGCCTCGCGCGCATCCAGGACCCCCAGATGACCGGCTACGTCTCCACGCGCTACTACCGCGCCCCCGAGATCATGCTCACCTGGCAGAAGTACGACGTCGCGGTCGACATCTGGTCTGCGGGCTGCATCTTCGCCGAGATGCTCGAGGGCAAGCCGCTCTTCCCCGGCAAGGACCGTGCGTGCCCCGTCCTGACCGTCGCCGGATGGGCTACCGCTAACTGAGCGTGAACGCAGACGTGCACCAGTTCTCGATCATCACCGAGCTGCTCGGCACCCCGCCAGAGGACGTCATCCAGACGATCGCGAGCGAGAACACCCTCCGCTTCGTGCAGAGCCTGCCCAAGCGCGAACGCGTCCCCTTCAGCGAGAAGCTCTCCTGCAAGGACCCCGTCGGTGCGTGCCGTGTCTCCTCCGCGTCCTCGCCGCCCACTGACAACCCGTCTGCCCACCAGCGATCGACCTGCTGGAGAAGATGCTCGTGTTCGACCCGCGGAAGCGGATCACGGCGACGGACTCGCTCGCACACGAGTACGTCGCGCCGTACCACGACCCGACGGACGAGCCCGAGGCGGCGGAGGTGTTCGACTGGTCGTTCAACGACGCGGACCTCCCCGTCGACACGTGGAAGGTCATGATGTACAGCGAGATCCTCGGTGAGTGGCCGCGTACGTTCTTGGTCTTGTGCTGGTTGGCCGTTTCTGTCTGCTTCGCGTGCACTTCGGGGCACGTGGAGGCCTGCATTGCGGTATGCCTGCGCGGTGTACGTGCCGGTTGCCCGCGCATTGGAACTGGGGATCGTGCCCTAACCCTTCCTCCATGACGGCTATTGCCTGCGCTCCCGGTATTACACCTGCCGCCAACCATCCCCGCATCCCGTGCAGCCCCACTGCGTCATCTCGAACCCGAGTCCCTCTTCTGTTCTCTCAACCACGCCACTCTGAGCCGACTCCCCGGTCGTTACGGCATGCGCTGACGCTGACACACCGCACCCCCACAGACTTCCACCAAGTCGGCGACTCCCGCCTGGACAACGGCAACGTCCCCGAGGGCGCGCTCGCCGCACCAGAAGGGGACGCGGCCGCGGCGCCCGCCGTCGGCGCGGAGGCTTAGAGGCTGCCTCCGCCCGACCGCGAGCCCCCAGACCGGCTCGGACTGCACCCCCCTCCCCTTCCTCCCATTCCGCGCGCAGGCGCGGTACTGACGACCCGACGACCCACGAATTCGCATCGCAACGCATCCTCGATCCATCCGCTACCTGTACACGGTTTTCCTCCTCTCTCGTCTCGTCTCGTCTCCTCGTTTTGTGTCCGTGTCGTGTATGTGTGGCGCATATCCGTAGCATCGCGTGTTAATGTCTTCGAGCTCATCCCTCCGGCCGCCCCTCCCTCTCCTCAGTGCCCCCTTTTTCTTTCTTGTGTTCGTGCACGCTCGCTCCCTCGGACGTACTACGTGATCACGGTGTATCGCTTATCAGACTCAGACTCAGACTCGGCCCACTCCACAGAAGCAGAAGCAGGAGCGGAAGTAAAGAAGTGAAGCAGTAAAGAATCGCGGTGTAGGGGTAATCTGGCGGGACCCGCGTACACGTATGGGTCGCCGTGAAGGCTCTTGTAACTTAGCCGTTGTAGCCTGGAGAAGTGGGGGAGCGGACCGCGTGCGGTGCCTGTGTAATCTTGTGCGTGTGACAGTACATCCGCGGCGGCATGCATGTTTATACAGTATACTAGCGGAAACCCGTGCTCCGCTACGGACTGGAGGTTATCAATTGACGATTGCATGCCACTGCAGTAGTGCTATGCGCGTTGAAGAGGTACCAAGGCCACTCCAAGTCAGCCGCCTCCTTCGGCCGCGCGGGGAGTCAGCTTCAAAGCTATACTACACAACAGTCATATGCCAGTACTGCTGTGCGCGAAGACGTATACGTTGTACGCAAAGGCCACTCAGCCGCCTCCCTTCGGGAGTCGGCTTCGTGGCCTCATCGAGCTTGCAATAGTATTGTCAACATTGATGTAAGTACGGATTCCATAGCACGTTTACGATCAAGTCGTCTGTTATCCAAACTATGGCTAGTGCTAGTGAACGGGGCCAGGATGGGCACGGGTAGCACCGCAGGTGCGCAGGGCGCATACCGCACCCGCGACCCGCGACCTACGTACCCATACCCTGCCCGGGTTCACCGCTGGTGTCGATAGTGGACCGCTGGTTGACTTACCTCGGCAGTATCTGCGCGGGTTTGGGCTTGTTGCCTGCACCCGCCGTCCTCCCCGTCCTCCGTCTTCGCCCCTCACGCGCCATCCTCACGCGCTCCCGCCTGCTCGCCGTACCCACGGCGCCCTCGTCGGCTGTGTTGGCATGCGGGGCACTGGCCCTGTGCGTTCGCAGTCGGCGCATTGCGCATGCCCCGACCCTGCCATTCGCTCACGCTCGCGCAGTCCCTTCGTCGGCGGGGCTTGCGTGCTCGTCATTCGCCCTGCGAGTTCGCGGTCGCCATGCGTGTGTCATCGTCCGGTCGTGTGCCCGCTCGCCCGTCCGCTCGTCTACCTGCGTGCGCATTCATTGGCCGTGTCTGCGTACTGGGCATTCGCCCTCCACGCTCGCGGTCGGTGTGTTGCGCGTGCGCCGGCCTGCTCAACAACGTCGCCGTTGCTGATCTTTTGCTCAGCGCGTGGGGTCTGCCCACCATCCGCTCGCTCGCGTCCACACCCACTCGGTTCCGCACTCACCCTCCACCCATCCTCCTCCTGCTCGCCGCTATGCTCGCAGCTGTGGTCCGCTCATCGGCCGCGCATGCACAGGGGACCTCTGCCCTGCGTGCTAGTGGTCGGTGGTGTTGCCGTGCGCCCACCGTCTACTTGCCCTTACGCGTTCTTCGCTCACACGCGGGTGGTCCGTTCATCAGTCGTATTTGCTGACGTGCATTCGCCCGGTGCGCTCTGACGTGCGCGCCGTCACCCGCCGTGCTTCACGTCGCCGCGCCCTGTGACTGCAGTCAGCGCGCTCGCTCGCGTGCGTCTGCACTCACCTTTCCCCGATGCCCTTCTTTAGCTCTCGCGCACGCCATCCGTTCGTCGGCTGTGTCTGCACGCAGGGCATTGGCCCTGCATGCTCGTGGTCGTTGTGCGTCTTGTGCCTGTACTGTTGAAGTTTGTGTTGCTGCACGTCACGCCCGCCAGCCCCTCGCTCTCGCCCTCGCTGTGCATGTCGTGGCCCACTTGTCTGCCCGCTCGCATGCCTGCGTTCGCGTTCGTCGGCCGCGTCTGCGTGCACTGGGTGTTCGGCCACCACGCTCACGGGCGGCGGTGGACGTGTGCGCTGTCGCCTGCCGCCCGCCCGCTCTCCCGCCCGCCCGCTCTCCCGCCCGCCCGCTCGCTCTCCCGCCCATCCACTTGCTTGCACATCCGATTGCCCGTCCACGTGTGCCCACCTGCGCACCAGCTCGCCCGCCTGTCCACTGGCTCCATGCGCGTTCGTCGGCCGTGTCTGCGTGCTGGGCATTCGCCCGGCGCGCTCGCGCTCGGCGTGCGCATCGCGTTTCATGTCACCACGGCGACTGCACCCTGGGGAAGGTCAACTCCGGTGCTTCAGACCACTGGGAAGAAAGACGTACATTCTGGCTACTTCCCTCTAATCTGTATGCGGGAGCCTGAATCTCGGACGACCTAGCCTGCTTGTGTGTCCTGTCATCCGGTTGCTCAAGCGCTCACTAAGAGGATAGTACAGTGTGAGAATATGACTGGCATACCCTTGGCCTTCAATACTTCAATCCCTAGTCGGGCTCATCATCTCCTGCGCTTGACGATCCTCACGCCGACGCGCACTCCATGGAGTATTGACAGGCGGTGGTATAGCTGCCATTTGTGCCGAGTTATTGTGGCGAAGGCGGGCAAAGGACGGCAGTGTAGTGGCATAAGTAAATTCAAGCCATCTGCATGGATATGGAAAAAGTGTCCGCTGTGCAGAACGTGTGGAGCGAGGGCCTCCGAGCTTGCAGAGGAGGAACGCGCACTGGCAGTGGCTGAGGGCGCCGCGTCAGACTCAAGAGGTCGGGCAGCGCTCGGTGTTCGTCTCTCAGCCAATGAGATGTCATCTTTGTCTCGTCCAATTGTCTGCCGTGTGAAAATTATCGACGCCTCTTGTAGAGTAGATACGATGGGCTTCGTACTTGTCTCAATAGATGCGCGGAGCACGGAACGCGAAACACGTCACGGTGTGCGTCATGCCTGGAGGAGGCGGGCGGGGAAGCAGATGCAATTGTGTGGTCATTGACACGCCCTTGGAATACATGTTCAGGTAATTATAACGGCACAAGTCCGTCAAAGTTCATCGATGCATCCTCCGAGTCCTCATGAGCCCACAACCGTTGATAGTCGTTACAATCCGTTGCCAGCGGCTGCATCGCCCGCACAGCGTCGCGCAACGCGCCGGGCTTGTACAGCCGCCCGACGTCGTCCGGCGCACGCAGTGTCTCGAGGAGCCGGCCCACCGCGTCTTCCTCATCCTCCCGAATGACGGCGAAGGTCGATCCACGCGCCCCGGCGCACCAGATGTCGTACGCAGTGTATCTGCCTACGCCGGTGTTGCCAGTGGGGGGAGGCCGTTGCGAGGGCACCGTCACCGACGACTCGGGCGAGGCGAGCGCAAAGACCATGCGTAGGACCGGGGGCGGGTCCGCCACGTCGTCGTCGAAGACACCGCACACGTACGGGTCCATGCCCTCGAACAGGTGGTTCTGCACCTCCGCCGCGAACTGCGTGTTGTTCTTCACCTGCACCATGAGCGCGGATACCTTGGCCCGCGCCAGCACAGTGCCGGACAGAACGGGGATGATGATGTCGATGCCCGCCTGGCTGTCCGCGCAGATGTACGCCGCCCCGCGTGTCATGGCGGCTCGGAGGCGCCTCTGGTTCACCATGTCGACGCTGGTCGTCTTGACGAAGTGGTTGAAGTAGATGTAACACTCCTTGAATGCGGCTCCCAGTGGTACGTCCGCGTTCCCGGGCTTGTCACATTCGGTTGGAAGGACGTCGTTGCAAGGCTTTGCGAGGAGTGCCTTCAGGAATTGCGAAACGGTGACGATCCGCCGCTTCAGAGCACCGTCGTATCTGAGATCCTGGTGCCAGTGGTCTACAGCGTCGCTGGTCCCAGGCAGTGGTTCGTTGGCGGCGAGAGGAAATGTAGTGGCACGATCGCGGGCGTCAAGCAGCAGGACAGCGGCGACTGTTTCTCCTCGTTCGCCCAAGCTTAGCTGAGAGTTGGCGAGATGGTACGCGAGCACGGATATCGGGGCCAGGGGCATAGGCATACGTTTGGTAGAGAGCGCCACCGCCTCGCCACCCGACCACCGCCTGCTAACGAGGGCCATATACGATGCCTCCGCAAGTAACGGCTCAGATGAGCAGGTGGTGAAAACCCGCGCAAACCCGGTGCTAGCGTAAAGCAACAACCGCATGTGATCCGCCACTAGCAGTCGCTCCTTCTCGAGGTCGTCCGGAACACTGGCCTTGAACACGAGTGGAATACGCACTCCCATGCACGCCAGCAACTGATTTTGAGTCAGGTGCTCGGGAGACGTTTGCGAGTTCAATAATTTGGCTTCCGCTAAGTGAACAATTTCCTCCCGTCTGCCGGTGTCGTACAATGCACCGAACCTATCACCCTCAGCATGAGCGCAATACACCCGTGATTGTCTGTCACTCACAAGGGACGACCCAAGTGCGCCATGTACTGTGTAGACGCGACGCGTTGCAGTGTGCACTCTGGACCAGATACATGCTCGGCAAAGACATCAAATGGGGTGAGAACGATGGGTGGGAATACTTCTAATTCTCGCCCAACAATTCGACCCGACCTCTCCTGCTGGGGAAATGGTGCAAATTGTTCCACTTTACCCATAGTAGAGAGGAAGAGTGTGAATATAGGCAGAGTGCATATCATGTGGAGCGAACGCCGTAGCTCTGAGAATCTTGTCCAATCGTCGTCACGCGCCTGAGTCTTCGTGAGCATGTGAGACTCGTCAAAGCATAGTATCACGAGTGGCCTGTCGAGAGGGAACATCGATTCGGAGTTTAGTGCTGTATCAGCTCAGTTGCGCTGTTCAGCACTGTCCGGTCATCCTGATTGACTGTGTTCTTTCAGCATTTTGAACATGTCATTAGACCCATTGCACGAACCTATCGGACTATCCTGGTTGTGCTTCCACACGGGATCCTTTGGTAAAAACTGGGCCAGATACATGTAGCGCAAGCGGCCACGAAGAGATACATACTCACCTTCTCCGCTCCTTCGACTACGGACCGATAAAACCGCTGCCGATACTCGCCATGTGCACCAAACTGCATCCCATCGTTCATCTTCATCCTGAACTCATTGGCCAATCGTGCGAGGCGGTCCTCCGCACCAGTGGTCGATCCTTCACGCGCATTGTCAGCTCTCCTAACATGTCCTATGCAGATCATGAGCTCACGATCAGACCCGATCATCTCCTTCTCGATAGTGATCAAACGGTCCAAAACCGTTGCAAAGAGTGAATACATGAAGGCCTGCACCCTGAGCTGGTACTGCTCCCGACTGTCTACGCACTTTGCGAACCAGTTGTAAGCTTGAGTATCCAATGGTGGGAAAACTATTTGACAAGGTGAATGAGGGCACGTAGCATCATGCACATCACTCACCATCTCCACCCACAGGCCCCAAGTTGATCGAAATGTGGAGGATCTTCTTAGCGAGCTCATCGTTCATTCGTGACTTCCCGGTGCCCGAGGACTGAGCATAGGCCGCGTAGCGGGCATATGGCACCGGCAGCTTCCGTTGCATGTACTGGTGAATGGTCGTTGATACGGCTTCAGTCGTGCCTCGAAACTCCTGCTGCCAAGACTTAAGGATTGCTAGAGGACTGTGAACACTGTGAGATCTCAATGTTTGCAGTGAAATATGCACGTCTACCTGTCCTCGTAGCCTCATTTCTAAAGCTGAAACTAGTAGTTACCTGCTGAAGCTGAGGAGGGGCGAAGGGGCTGAGCACCCCTGTCTCACGACACCGCGTTAGTCAAACGGACATCGAAGTCGAGTACGAAGAAGGTGCTCGCCTGATTTAAAGACAGGCCTGTAATCGCCATCGGCGAGTGCGGACTGTAGCATTTGCTTGAACTCGTTATTACGTGCAAGCGTCTTGATGCTCTTGGTGTCGATCTTGAGTAGCCGGGGATTTTCTTCATTGACAACGTCGACAATTGTGGTCATGATCCAATGATAATGATACTCTGAAAGCGAGAGGTTCGTGGCATCAGCGGCCAACTTCCGCAGCTCGTCCCGAAGCCTCTCGTTCCAGATGTCAAGTTCACCGGCAGTGAAGGGTAAATCAACCTTCATGTTGGCTGGTTCGGAATCCAATGGCAGCGGCTCAGAGTATAGACGCGGTCTTTTTGTAGACTCGTCTGAAGTGGCCAGATTGATACGTTTCGTTGTGCGCGACGGCGGTAGTTCCATGTACTGATGGCTATGACGGTGAGCAACAGTAACGGTGCACGTGTGAGTAACCAGCCACCTGCTTCCCGCTCCGGTCATCCAGCATATCTTCGGTGAAATTGAGTCCAGCACTGGCGTCAAGTATAGTAAGTACATGTCGGCCTCCACGTGACTGAACTACGTACTGTCACTGACACTAGCGCCGGCAGTAAGTACTAGTACATCCGCACTGACAGTCGCGTAGTATATGTTCAAGTATACGACCGGCTTCAAAGCTTCATACTTCTCTTACTACATGCGCGGAGTACGAAACACCTCACGGTGTGCGTCATGCCTAGAGGAGGAGAGCTGGGAAACAGAAGTTGTGTGGTCCATGAAATGCCCTTATGATACATATCGTACACACATCGAACCCGGTAGCAATACAGACAATGACGGATATTAATGTGCACCCCCAGTCGCCGAGTCCTTCAGACACCAATACACATCAGTACAGACCATCTCAACCACGTCCCTCCTCTCCCTCGTCCTCCGCAATTTCAACCACCACCCTCCCCTCCTCAACCATCTCCCCCTTCGCACACCCCACAGCGCGCACCACGCCGCCCACCGCCGCGCGCAACACCGTCTCCGTCTTCATGCTCTCCAGCACGACGACCGCCTGTCCGGCGCGCACTCGCTCGCCCGGCGCGACCCGCACCTCCACGACCACGCTCGGCATCGGCGCGCGGAGCACGCCCCGCCCCCCACCCACAGCAGCCGCGGACGCGAGGGACGCGGCCCACGCGGGCGCGGGGAGCACGAGCGTGTGCTGCGCGGGCGCGCCCGCGGGGAAGACGTGCAGCCGCGTCGACCCGGGCGCGCCGGTCGCCGCTGCGGGCGCGCGCTGGCGGACGACGGTCGTCCGCGTCTTCGCGCCATCGAGCGTGCTCTCGACCGCCCTGCCGTGCTCAGTGAGGCGGGCGGAGACGTGCGCGAAGGCGTGCGTGTCTATCGGGGTGTGGACGGTCACGTTGAAGTGCCCACTGGGCAGGGTCTGGACGTGCACTGTGATGGCGGTGGGCTCTGCAGCGTTGGTGTTGGCTTCGTTGTGACTGTGAAGAGTTACTACTCGCTCGGAAAGGTCGCCGCCAAAGCGACGCGCGCCCATAGTTGCCCACGGCGTCGCGGACGATGCCCCCGAGGGCAAGTCAAATAGGACGACGAAGAGCGCAGCTTGCGCGAGCACTTCCGCACTCGGCTCTTCTACCTTTGGGAAGAGCTCATCAAAGTGTTTCTGAGAGTCGTGGTGATCAGCGTCGCCAGAACCTGAAGCCTGGAATGGGCCGGGAGTGAAAACTCCTTCAACATACCTGTATGAACCCCGTTTCGACCTCCCCGCGGATGAAGTTCTCGTTCCCGCGAGCTGCCGCAGGAACGCGACGTTCGTGCTCAGACCTGCGACGCGATACTCCTCCAGTGCCGCCCGCAGGACGCGCAACGCTTCCGGACGATCGCGCGCGTGCACGACGAGCTTCGCGATCATCGGGTCATAGAACATCCCGATGTCCGCGCCCTCGGGGAAGCCCTGCTCCAGGCGGACGGAGGGCTTCACGTGGAGGGTCGCCTCTGCCGAGAGCAGCGGAGTGAGCGCGGCGTCGGGGTCGGCGGGCGCACGCGGGGCGACGGCAGGGGCGAAGATGGTCGTGGGGGCAGGGGTTGAGAGGTAGAGGAGTCGGCCCGAGTCGGGGAGGAAGCCGTTGCGCGGGTTCTCGGCGTAGATACGCGCTTCGAAGGCGTGCCCGACGAGCGGGATGGCAGCTTGTGTAAGGGGCAGGGGGTTGCCGGCTGCTACCTGGGGTTATGTCAGCCATGAAATCCTTGCACAAGTGAATGGTGATCTAGCACCTCAAGCTGCCACTCGACGAGGTCAAGGCCAGTGATCATCTCCGTGACAGGGTGCTCGACCTGCAACCGGGTGTTCCTGCACAGTTGTCAGGAATCATTTGTAAATTCGTGCAGCAAGAGGAGCCATCGCACATTTCCATGAAATAGAAACGCTCAGTGTCGTTGTCGAAGATGAACTCGACCGTTCCCGCGCCGACGTAATTGACGGCCTTCGCAGCCGCGATCGCCTTCGTGCTCAAGTCCGCCCTCAGTTCTGGTGACAAACCTGGTGCAGGTGCCTACAAAGCATCTACCTCAACAAGCTAAATTCAGCTCAGAGGACCAGCCCTACGTACCTCCTCAATGATCTTCTGGTTCCTCCTCTGCACGGAACAGTCCCGCTCCCATAGGCTCACGCACCGCCTTGTTGGTCAGCAAAACCTGAACCTCGACATGCCGCGGGCGCTCGATCCACTTCTCGACGAGGACCTCCGTGCGGCCGAACGCCTTGCTCGCCTCGCGCTGAGCGGACGCCAGAGCGTCGGCGAAATCTGCGGGGACGTGCACGGTGCGCATGCCCTTGCCGCCCCCGCCGTGGACGGCCTTGATGAGGACGGGGTAGCCTATATGCGAGGTCAGACTGCAGCATAGGCGCGGGTAAAGGGGTGGACGGACCGATTTGAGACGCCTGGTCGGCGAGGAAGGCTGGGTCCTGGTTTGAGCCGTGGTAACCTGGTACGACAGGGACCCCCGCGTCTACGGGCAGCGGAGACGTCTATCCATAAACTGAGCATTGAGGCGATGGATGCACGCACTGGCCATGATCGTCTTGGACTCACTGCCCGTGTTGATATGTAAGAGTGTGGCGGTATAGAATGTTGATGGAGAAGCGTGCCTCTTGGAGCCCATGCTCACGATGGCAGAAGCAGGTGGCCCGATGAACACGATCCCGGCTTGTGCGAGTTGTTGGGCGAAGTCGGCATTTTCGCTCAGAAAGCCGTAGCCCGGATGAACACCCTGTAGAACATGGCTCAGCAAGAGTAACGGGAGCTAAATGAGGGCATACCTGGGCGCCGCTTTTGCGACACACATCGATAATCTTGTCTATGCGAAGCTACCGAGAGTGGGTTACAGAGGCTGCTATGGGCGTGTGGGGACGACTCACGTAGCTCTCCGAGGACGCTGCAGGCCCGATGCAGTACGCCTCGTCAGCCTGTATTGCATGGCAGTATCAAACGCAGCCCTTGGCATGACGAAAAGGGAACGTACCATCTTGACATGCAACGCATCTGCGTCCGCCTCGCTGTACACGGCTACGCTGCGTATGTCCAGCTTCTTTGCGGTGCGAATGACACGGCATGCGATCTCTCCTCTGAATCGCTATGCGCGTGGGTGTGGGAGAAGACCAGACTGATCGCGCACATACCTATTCGCGATGAGTATCTTGTCAAAGTGAGGCCTTTTTCTCGAGTAGCGCAGTGAGACTGTCCGTATGTGAGGATCCTGCCTCGCACAGCTCGTCATGCACGGCTACGAGACGCCACACGACCTGTCTCACCAACTGCCGAGGCGAATCCCTTTCTCTGTCCAACGGCAGACGAAGCTCGCGTGTGCATTGCCTCTTTCTGTCGCACATGCTCCGGCTGGATTGCGGATGCATGATGTTTGGCTGAAGGAACAGAGGGTGAGGACAGCGGCTAGAGGACGCTCCCTGAAGCGCAAACGGCAGCGAGCGCACACTGGCCGTGGCTGTGCGGGGCCCTTGGACAACATTGCTCGCTCAAGGAGAGGACGGCGGAAGGAGAGCGCACTCGCGGACGTCGGATGGAGACGCTGCCAGTGGTCCCATGACCGCGTCCCGGGCAGCCACCCCCGCGCTTTACCCCGCGACCGCCAAGACGATGACCCCTAGGCCTCCATCACGACAGCGTCGAGTCCGATTCCTGTCATTGTTATGTACATACACAGTTCTTCGTCTCATGCGACTAGTGTACACGTAACTATAGCTACAGAATCTCAAACGCCAATACTGATAATACACTCTATGAAGACCTCATTCACTCCGCTGCGGCGACAGCGTCCTTATGCTGCGAGTCCCGAGTCCATCAGATATACTACTCCCCGGGTTCCTCTTCTTCGCCGGGACACAGCACCGCAGCATTGAAGCGGTCCTCGTAAAACTGCCTGACGTCGCGAGGCCCACGCAGTTCTTGAGGAGCCAGTCCGCTCATCTTGCTCTGTTCCTGAATGACGGCGAAGGTTGATCCCCGGCGCACCAGATGTCGTACGCGTGTATCCGCCTTCGCCTGTGTTGGGGGTAGGCCGTTGCGAGGGAATCGTCACCGACGACTCGGGCGACGCAAGCGCAAAGACCATGCGTATGACCGGAGGCGGGTCCTTCACCTTGCTGTCGAATACTTCCCAGAAGTACGGGTCCAGGACTCGAACCGGTGACGCTCCACCTTCGTCGTGAACTGCTCGTGGTTCACCACCTGAACCAAGATAGCGGACACCTTCTCTGGCACCAGCACAGTGCCGAACAGAACTGGGATGGCGATGGAGAAGCCGTCGTGGCTGTCCGGGCAGATGTAGGCCGCTCCGCGTGACATGGCGAGTCTGAAGAAAGTCTGGTTTATCACGTCGACGCTTTTCGCCTTGATGAAGTGGTTAAAGTAGATGAAACAGTTTTGAACGCGGCTTCCAGTGGTACGTCCGCGCTCCCGGGCCTGTCATATTCGGCCGGAAGGATATCGTGGCAAGGCTTCGCTAGGAGCGCCCTCAGGAATTGCGATACAGTGACGATCCGACGCTTCTGAGCACCGTCGTACATGAGATCGTGGTCGTCCCCGATGTCGTCGGTCCCAGGCAGCGGTTCGTCGGCGGCGAGAGGAAATGTAGTCGCACGATCGCGGGCATCAAGCAGCAGGGCAGCGGCGACCGTTTCTCCTCGCGAACTACCACATCCAGATGGGAGCAGTCAAGATGGTACGAGAGAGTGGGTATGGGCTCCGAGAACCTTGGCATGATCATTTTGTCAAAGGGCGAATAGCTATTGCTTTGCCGTTTGACCACCGTCTATGAGCCAAGATCGTATATACCGCCTCCGCGAGCAACGGCTCCGATGGACAGTCGGTAATCACACTCGCAAACCCCCGCTAGCGTAAAGCAGCATCCGCATGTGCGGCGCCACCAGCTCGAGTTCACTGGTGGGTTCACCCGAGGCTCTCTCCTTGAACTTGGTCGGGATCCGTACTCCGATGCATGCCAGTGACTGTGATCTGACAGACGCTCGGGCCATCTTTGCGAGCGCAGGAGCTTGATCATCGCGAAGCGAATGATGTTTTGCCGGTATGTCCCTCCACCCGCGTCGTACATCGCCGCGAACCTACAACACAGCATAAGCATGACGAGTACGTGGGGGTGTGACCCCTACATTGGTCGGCCCAAGTGCACCATGTACTGTGTGGACGCGACTCGCTTTAGGGTCCAATCCGACCGGGGCAAGCGTTCCATGAAGACGTCGAAAGGGGTCAAGACGATGGGTGGGAACAGCGGCTGCTGGGTGAGTGGATGTTCCACATTGCTGACAGTAGACACAAAGAGAGTAAAGATTGGGAGGTCAACAATCGTGTGGAGGACGTCCCGCAGCACCGTGAATGTCGACCAGTTGTAGGAAGCTGCCAGAGGCTTGGTGAGCATATGATACTCGTCGAAGCATAGTATCACAAGCGGCTCGTCACTGCAAGTCTTGTTAGGGTCTAGGAAATCGATCAGCCCCCGTGCGCTAGTCCACACTGCGGAACCCGGCCGATCAACTCTCCCTTCAGCGTTTTGTACCGAACAAGAGATGAATAGCACTGACCGGCATGTCTTGCATTCTTCGGCAGAAACTGTATGAGACCTATGTATCACAGGAAACAAAGATATGCATACTCACATTGTTGGCTCTCTCCGCCACGGCCTGATAAAAGTTCACGCGGTACTTGCCATGCTGACCAAACAGCATCCCGTCGTTCATCCTCATCCGGAACGCACTCGCCAATCGCGACACGCGCTCCATGACATCCTCCATGGTAGTACTTCACAGCCCTAATTAGCCCCGCTAGAGAGCGCGCATCCAATATAGAACGTACCATTGGAACCCGCCGTCCCAGTATCTTCTTCAATCTGCTTCAAACGCTCGAGTACAGTTGCTAAAAGAGTAGAAACGAACGCCTGCACGCGGTGCGAGCAGCTTTCCGGGGTGTGGGCGTCATAGTAATTGTCGAACCAGCGTAAGCTTCGAAATCCGCTGGAGGGTATGTAAACTACCGGAAGCGTCGGATGAGAATATACGGTACTGCATATGCGGGAGATTGACGCACCGTCTCTGCCCACAGGCCCTAGATTAACGGGAATATACAGGACCTTCTTGGCGAGCTCGTCGTTCATTCGTGACTTCCCAGAGCCCGAAGACTGGGTAAAGGTAGCGCAGCGGGCGTATGGCCACGGCGTTTTTCGACGAATATAGTTCTGCAGGGAGATGTATAGGACATCGGTAGTGCCCCGGAACTCCTGGTGCCAGGACTGTTCGGTCGCTAGAGGTTGAAATCAGTGTAAGTATTGGCGATGCACACGTACAGGAGGTTACCACACCTTCTCCCGAGTCATCCGTTGCATACGCTGGAACCCGACGTGCCAGGCGCTCATTTTTCGGTACATGGCAGCTGACTGTAGACATGGCGGCGAGCTCAGACTCAAAGACACTTGCACTGGTATAAGCCACCAGACCATACTACCCCTCATTCCTATATATAGCCAAGATCCAGATCGGAGACATGAGACAGCTTCAGTAATTCTAGTCTCCGTTGCATGATCAACCTAAAAGATCTTAAGAGATACTACAAAGTACTCTCGGTTCTACAGGCCTCATAATCAGGGTAGGAACACAAGTAAAGGCGACACTGTACAGTATGTATAGTACGTACCTACGGCTCAGGCGTACGCCAGTCCATCCCACAAAAGATGAGAACAAACAACTATTCAGAGGAGCTAAAATACGAGCAGTCCAAGGGTCCGTGCCGCGTTACATTCGTGAGTAGTATAGTGATCATCGCTGCGGTTGCGACATCACGCCAGGTTCGCCTGAATCGTCAGGGCTTCAGCCTCCAAGCATTCGTTGTCGTGGTTGAGCACGTTATTCCCCCGTGCCAGAAACCCTTAAGCCGTCCTCAGTTCCACCGTCCGCAAAGACGGGATGCTGCGGCACGTTGGTGAGTCCTCAGTAAGCACCTGCATACCCTTGATACCCTCCAAGCGCATGCGCACGTCCCGCAGCTTATACGGCGCGAACGAGCCCGCGACGGCGATGCTGGCGAGGTTCGGCAGGGCACCCAGGAGCGCGAGCCACGCCGATTCGGACATGTCCTCCTGGCTGTCGATCGTCAACTCGCGCACGGCCTGCAGCGGGAGCGCCTGACATACGCTCGGCACGATCTCCTCGCGACCGTAGCCCCGATCGACCATGATGTCGAACGTCGGCACCGGCGCAGACCCGGACGCGAGTGCCGCGTAGCCTGTGAAGCACATGTAGCGGTGGAACCCAGTTCCAGTGAACCGCGCGAGGTGGAGGGCACGAGTCTCGGGGAGTGTCTCGAGTGTGTGTACGAGCGCAACGGGGAGCGTCTCGGGATACTCGGTGCTGTTGCGCGCGCAGGAGAGGGTGATGTTAGCTAAGGCGGGGAGCGAGAGGTGGTCGAGGAGCGCGACGGATTCTTCGGCGGTTGCGTGGACGTACATGGAGCGCAGGTGCGGCAAGACGACGTCGGGGAGGCTGGCCTGAAGCTCCGCCTCAGCGGCGGGGTTCAGTGTCACATGCGCCTCCTTGTCGAACGCGACAGACTCAAGAGAGGGCATGTTCTGCAGCGCGTCGAGAAGACCGCGCAGACACGGGCCGGTGTAGCGCATGCCCATAAACATGTCTGCGACGCGGTGGCAGAAGACGAGGCGCTTGAGCGAATCCGCGCAGGGGCCCTGGAACTGAGGCTGGAACGCATCGAGCTCCAGGTGTTCCAAGCGTGGTGTCAGGTCGCGCTGAAGGAAGTACGGAAAGTAGGTGTAGGCGTCATCGCAGTTCTTGAGGTCAGCCGGGGTTGGTAATGCGACGTGGTCGAGAACGAGCCGCTTCAGCCTCGGCGCAGAGTTTGCAAGCAGCGGAAGGATCTCGTCGCCGACTGCACCAGAGATATGAAGTGAACCGATACGGTGTAGCTGGGCCAGAATCGTCCGAAACGCTTGCGTCTTGTTGCCACCGAGCGTCGTGCCGAGCTCAGCGGTAACGTGGAGAAGCATGTTGCCCGAGCGTGCGAGGACCTCTGACATCCATTCCGCGCTGCGCGTCACGGCAAGATGCGTCCAAAGTGGAGGACAGTGAACGACTCCGGCACGCCACCTGCGACAGACGTGCGAGACGGCGATCCAGTCGTACCCCGAACTGTATTTCAGGGGGCGCACGTTCTGACGACCGTGCGGCTTGCCCTGCGAGAGCCCATGGACGAGGTCGCGGTAGTGGAGAAAAATCTCTTGAAGGATCTCCAGAGGAAAGTCAATCGCTGGAGAGTGTGCGTCGATCATTGGGGTTGTCATGATGGTTGTGTATTAGATTCTGAAAAGATGTCAGCTTGTCACCGCTGTCGAACTGTCAGGACGTACAGGATGTGTGCTTGAGGTGGTCTGAGAGCGCTGTAAGTTAGAATATCGGGGTGCCCCGACGTGTCAGGAGTTTAAATACGGGCGAGTGATACAGCCTCGGATCACCGCGTCGATCTTGAACGGACGGCAGTGTTTGCTACTTGTCTCATTGTTTTGCAGTTGATGGACCATGGTGCCAGCTAGTTCTTGTTGGACCCCGCACAAAAATTGCGTATAGGAGCGGAGATCGTCGGACGTCGGTATTCAATGATCCAGTACTTACCACATCCTGGGCCACCGTAGCCAAGGTCGCGGCTACCTGACTCAGCCCAGCCGTCGAAGTCCGCTGCGTCCGGCGCGATCCCACATCACAGCAAAACTGCTGGACGCCGCCTTTGTACGTCCGAAAGGTGCGGGATCCGACAACGATATGATGCGTGAAGCTCGGGAATGATGGAAAAGAACCTAGCTGGAAAAGAAAAGCCAAGCAGGCATCATTGTGCAGCGCATGCACTGTGTCTCGCGATCGGATGATGTCAGTTGGTTCGGACACGTTGCACTCACCCGCCCGCCCTCCGACTCACTCTTCTGCCGCTAATACACGGTCACGTGCTCCATTCGTCGGCGACACTCTCCGCCGTGCGCGATGGCAGCGGAGAAGGCAAGGAGAAAGCAATGCGAGTGTTATACGCGTAGAGGACATTGCAGCACAATACCACAGCACTCAGATCGCTAGCAGGCTATTGCATCCGGTATCAGTGCGCCTCAGAACTTGAACACCTGCAGCACGCCATGAGCGCTGCGTTTCACTCGTTCGGTGTTTCACTCACCTGTTCCTCCGTGTAGCCAAGCTCCTTTAGGATGCCTCCAATGGGCCCTTGCTTCATACCGTTTTTCTTTCCTGCAACCGCATCCACCTGTCCTGGGGGACCTGCACAGCCAATCCTGCATGAGGACACGGTTTGCACACCGAAATATGGGGGCACGCACCGCAAATGAACACCTTGGCCTTCTCGCCGAGACTGGGCGGCGGGATGTGCTGCATGACCATCTCCTTGTTCACGTATCCCTTGTAGCCCTTCCACCCGTCAGCCGGCTTGGACAGAGTGTAGATAACATTGAAGGTGTCCGGGTGCTTCTTCTTCAGCGCCTCGAAGTCGTCCCGGAGCAGGATGTCGCGTTCTTCGACATTCGCGAAGATGAGGGTAAACTTTGTCTTGTTGTTCGGATCCGACAGCGCGTAGTTGACGATCTGGTACATCGGTGTGCTGCACGCGCACGCACACACAGGGCGTCGGCCGACCGAGAGCCACGAGAAGACGAGAGCGGACACTCACATGCCGCTACCACCCGCAATCATGCCGACCTCATCCCACTTGTTGACTGCACGCGACAACATGAGCGACCCCGAATTCTTCGGTCATGCTTCCGCTTCTGCAACTCACTCTCGTACTTAATCTTGGGCAGCGGGCCCTTGATCGCAATCGGCTCACCGGGCTTCAAGCTGTGGATATACTGACTCATTTTGCCGTCATCGTACCGCTTGATCAGGAACTTGACCTCGCCAGGGTAGTCGCTTGGGCTGACAGGCGTGTACGGACGGTGTACGGGCTTGCCCTTCTCGTCGCGGAGAGCATTCGGGTGATTCTCACTCGCCTCGAGGTACACGCACGACGCGACCGGGAGCAACGCCGCCTGCCCGTCGGGCAGCCCAAAGCTGTAGACCGCGCAGTTGTGGTTATAGTCCTCGACGGACTTGAGCGGGAGGTCGATGAACTTGGACGAGTCGAGCGGCGAGGTCGTGTTCGTCGCGGGCGTGTACGACTTGCCTGCGCCGGCCGCCGGGGCCGCCGTGCTCTTCGTGCCGAACTGGTTCAGGTAGATGTACCCCGCGAGTCCGGCAACACCTGACGGCTTGTGTGAGCCTCGCAGACACCATTACGATACGGTGCGCACCTGCGCCACCGAGAATAAGCGGGAGGTTGGACGACTTTTGTGCTCCCGGCTCGGTGCTAGCATAGCGGCGCGCGCTGGCGGCGAACTGGTTGACGCGCTGCGAACAGGTGGTCAGTGGGCATGGTCAAAGTGCTTGTGAGCGCCATGGGCGTACGGTTGCGCGCGCAGAGGCAGCAGCACGGACGAAGGACATGGTGGTCGACGAGAGAGTGTGCGTACGCTCTGCTGGCTGGGAATTATTCATATTCACTCCGAGACGCGGCCGCCGCCACTGCGCGCCTCGCGATCGTGACGTGAGTGCCGCCGCCACCCGGCCCGGCATGCACTGGCCCGTCGTCGCGACGATGTCGTTGCTTGACCCAGTCCGTAGACTCCATATTTATTTACTGCCTTTTCCATGCCTTTTCAGTGTAAGTACAAGAATCGTATGCGAACATCGTCACTGAGATGCATGTCGATCCCCGGCTTATTAGGAGTCATTGAATGTGCTCTGTATTTCCTGAGGATGTCGAGCACATAGCGGGAAGAACCACAGTACGTATACTGACGAAGCAATGTCTAGACTTGCTCGGCAACGCATCAATATGTGAACATGTCAAGAGGACTTGGATCCACAGCTTTAAGGATTGCCAGCAATTGCATAGCAAACGTCCCACGGACAGGGAGAGCCGCCATAAGCGCACTGAAGTAAAACCTGTATAGCACGGGAAAAATAGAACGATATACATAAATAATACAACACTCCTCGCCCAAGAGTTAGTCCACGCACGCCGTCAGTGAGAAAGCTTCGCCCAGAGGATGACAATGATGAGGATGACGAGGACGAGGATGATGGCACCCGTCACGACGCGTTGTTGGTACATCCTGCATGGACGGGATCACACCCACCTGTAAGAACATCGTCGCGCAGGACAGCAGATAGGCTGGAGAGACGCACCGCCTGATCATTTTCTTGAGCGTACCCGACGCGCGGTCGATCGACGTGTCAGCACGTTGAAGCTAGCACACACACATTCAGCACCGCGCAGCATCAAACACAACAGAGAAGGCGTACTGTGTCCCGCGAATTCTCAATCTGCTCCCGCTGCACGCGCAGACTCCGGAGGATGTCCGTGCCCTGCTCCTCCGTCTCGAGCGCGATCCGCTGGCTGTCCTGCAAGCGCCGGCTGCCGTCCTCGAGGATCGTGGTCCCCGCGAGGAGGCGCGTGCGGTCGCTGCGCTCGCCGTACGGGTCGTCCGCGATGCTCGGGTCGTCGAACGCGGAAGGCGAGCGGGCAAGCAGGTCCGCGCGCGCGGTGGAGGCGTGCAGGTCCTTGGAGAGCTTTTTGTACCGCGCAAGGTCGCTCTTGGCGGACCTGATGCGCGATTGGTAGGACGCGCGGATGGACTGCGGGATGCCCTGGATTTCGATCTCCATTTGCGAGACCTATGTACAGTGTGGAGGCTGGTGAGTCGGCGCAGCTGCGCGTTGGTAGGAGCGACGGCGTGAGGCGTACCATTTCGTCCGCCTCGTCCAGCTCCATCTCTACCCGGCGCAATGCAGCCTTGCGCTGCTCTATGCACGCCGCAATGAGTCCTCAGTCTGGCTGCGTTAGAGGGTAAAGCGCGACGCACCGGCCTGTTCGCCCTTCGCATCGCCGTCGAGCTTCTCCCGGATGCTCGCGACAATCTGCTTGAAGTCGGACTCGTACGAAACAAAGAGGGCGGTCGGGGACTGGTCCATGGTCTGCGGGCGTCGCTGGAAGGTGGTGGAGGGAGGGGGACCGAGTGTCTGGAGTGGGAGTCGGCGGCGCAGCGCGTCGGCAGCTCAGCGACGCTCGCAGGCGCCGTGAGTGTGTATTTGGTCGTCACGTCCCCGAGGCATGCCCGAGCTTCCTCTAGCAAGATGCCCGATCGTACATCGCCCGGACGCGCACAAGACGACGATGAGCACCTCCCTCGCCGCGCTGCAGGACCGCCTCCAGACTGCATCGACGGACTTCCAGAAGATCCAGAATGACTTGACCACCGCCGTAGATGCGCGCCAGCGGCTCGAGGCCCAGCAATCCGAGAATGAGCTCGTCAAGAAGGTATGTCTCCCTCAGGCTTGCACGGTTGATTCGACTTCGCAGCTGATCGGCCTGTCATGATAGGAGTTCTCCACTCTCACTGAAAAGAACACAGTGTACAAGCTTGTTGGCCCCGTGCTTGTCCAGCAGGACCAGGCGGACGCGAGGGCGAACGTTGAGAAGCGACTGGAGTTCATCCAAAGTGAATTGTGCGTAACATGATGTTCATTGATGATGCATTGGCTCAACGTGCTGCGTTCACTACTTCGTGCACGCCGAACAGCAAGCGGATAGAAGGCCAGATAAAGGACTACGAAGAGAAGGCGGAGAAAAAGAAACATGAGGTGACATCCTTTCTCTGCGCGCAGATCCTTGTCTGTCGCTCAACCTGATATGCAGCTCGTGGAGATCCAGGGTGCACTGCAACAGCAAATGAAGGCACAGGGCCAGGCTGCACCAGCGGCCGCTGCTGCTTGATCTCCGGCTTCATTGTGCGGATGCATCTAGTCCTGGCTGCCAGTGCGCTTCGGAGGCGAAACCTGCGCACTGCTAGCGTGCGTGAAATCCCCTTGGAACCAGGGAGGTCCGCCCCGGTGACGCACGACCCTTGGCAACTGAGCCTGAGGGACGGATAGCGGTGGTACCGTCGAACATTCGGCTGCTCGACAGGCCGGGTGTTCCGAGTATGAATCAACGCCTATTATACCGCTTCAAAAGAGCGTTTGGCACACTGTAGCCTTACTATGTATGCATACCCGAACCAATCAGCATGTCGCAGCAGTCCGTCGTCTTTGCAGCGTAGCGCAGTTGCTAGACCAGCGTGGATGTCTCGTATGCGATGTATGCATGCACGCCGCTGACCCACCCGTCGCCAAAAATCCCCGCATGACGACCCGACCCTCGTGCTCCTCACAAGCTAGCCTCCGGTCTTGACTGCGTCTCCGCCGTCGGTGTGGGCTCAGGTGTCCTCGCCGCCTCGCTCTTTATCCCCTGCATGCTATGCGCCTTCTCGCGCTCCCTCTCGGGACTCTGAATGATCCTCTCGAGCGCGAACCGTTTCCTCGCAGAGATAGGCGGGCAATTCCGGATGAGGACGAGGTCGCCGTGACGGAGCTCTGGGTATGGGACAGCGGTCAATCCTGCCGTGCACACAGAGAAGTCCAAGGGGCTACTCACGGTTGTTCTCGTCGTGTGTGAGGTACTTTTTCGTCTTCTCGAGACGCTAGAAAGATGCGGCGTGAGCGGAGAGCAGACGGGTGGGTGTGGGGAGGGAGAGGTACCTTGCCGACTCGGGGGTGCAGGACGAAGCGCGAGACGGTGACGGTGGCGGTCTTGTTCATGCACCCGACCTTGGTGACCAGCCCCGTGAACGCCATAGGCGGCATTTTGGCAGAGAACTCAGAGACGAGTGAGAGTGGTTATACGGCAGCGGCAGTTGTGGCGGTTGGCTCAATTATCTTTAGCGCCGGTTACCCCGAATTCTGTGACAGGGCGCCAAAGCATAACGCAGACCATGAGTCCTGACCAAGTCCGAGTCGCAGGTGGTGGCAGGGTGAACTCTCATTATATTGTGAGAGAGCCGGATCAATGAAGGTGAACATATCAATGACACAAACGAGCTCATGGTATCAATTTCTGCCTCGCAAATCACACCACGGATCCGTCCCAACTGCAACGAGAAATCACTTAGCATTACTGTGGGTGATGAGCGGATTTGGGCGGATTCCAACGGCCAGTTGAACATTTGAACATCAAGTACTATGCCAAAGGATCTTGCTCCGACGAATCTATCGAAGGCATACATGAAGCATTCATTTCACCTGATTCCGCGTGCTCTTGCTCTCTTGATGCTTGGGGAGGGACGTTTATGACGCTGTCGGCTACCATGCGACTCCAATGCGTTAGTTTGTACCCACGAAACACATCGGAAACACGAGAGGGGAAGGGGCTTGACAGCGGCGAACTGTGCACTACACTGCCATTCATACCGTCGCATTCACAATACAGTGAGACTTGGCCGTTTTCAGTTCAAGATACACTACTTCACAGCGTCCCTCATCGCGGTTCGCGATGGGGCTCTGTGAGGTGTAAACGTTTATCAGCCAAAAGAGTGGAGATGTCTGATTGACGGCCTCTTGGTTCACGATACCGTATTTCATAGTCTCCGTTGCAGTTGTTTGCAGTGACTCTAACGCCGACGGAGTGTTGTCCTTCCGCGTTCCCTGAGCCTGGAAAGGACCGCGTATGCCCGGCGCGAGAGTAGCGGCAGATGACACGCACCTTTGTGGACTAGCCACAACATCCCGAATTATCTGACCTCCTGCGCTCAGCGCTGGCCGCAGACGGCTTCCTGTTGGGTGTCTTCTGTCATCCTTGCGTAATGGTATCGGGTCGAGTCGGATGTTTTTTTTTTTTTTTGGAGGGCTTTATTAAGCGTCGACAACCGACAATTGGTCTGGCCTCGGCAGCTCAGCCTGCTAGCGAGTCTCCCCGCATCCGCACTCCAGGGACAAAATGCTTTTACGCACGACCTGAAAGGTCCGTGTGGGGCTCTAACCATCGTCTCGCTCCTCGAGACCGGATAGGTCAATACCCACTAAAACCCGATTGTATGTCGTCCAATCTTCAGGCAGGGCCAGTTCGTCGAACAAGACCCCATTCCACGTTCCTAGGACACTGTCGACCTTCAGTGACTTCCGTCCGAAACGCTTATGTGACATTGTCATGTCTAGGTGCAGTCTGTCTTCTATGGTCCGTTTCCACCTATTTACTATTGCCCGGTGCGAGTGGTTCCAGTCTTCTTCGCTCTCATGTCCGATAACGCGTTCGCATCGCAGTTTCCATATCAGGAAGGCTGATTCGGATACCAGTATTCTCCACAGTCTTTCGGCGTTCTTGCGCCGCTTTCCGTTGCTCGTTGTCCATTGCATGAGGTTCGCACTCTGGATTGTGGTGAGTGTCATGGCGGGCCATGGGAGACCTTTTTTCTTCCAGAGAGCCTCGGCTAGGAGCCACACTGTTTGTTGTCCTGGCGCTGCGCATTCCGTAAGTATGTGGCTCAGTGAGTCTATTTCGTCGCAGCATTCGCATGTGCCGCGCTGCTCATACCCTGGGATGCCGACCCAGTACTCTCCGCATTTCTGAGCACTATGTAGGCTCTTCCAGAGGAAATCACTTATGTTCCGTTTCACGTCTTTGGTCCTTATGCTTCGCCACACGTCTTCCTTGTCCACCAGGAGTCCCTGGGTGGCTTTCATCCACTCAGTTACTCTGCTCAGCGCGAGCGCTGTTCTTCTCCGTTCTGGCGTGGCTTTCCTCAGTAGTATTCCTCTATATGCTAGCTTCTGCGTCATTCGGTCTAGGCGCGCGCCTGAGAGGTTGAATACGTGGTCGATCTCTAGAGCTTCCGTCGCTGGTTCTACTTCGTTTGTTCTATCTCTTTGGGCTGCCTCTATCGCCTTTTTTACCATATCCTGTTCGTCTCTCGTGGACGCCTTCTTTATTATCGTGGCTGCGCATCTCGTGCGCAGGATATTGACCAGGGCTTTCATTGGTCTCCCATTTGGTACGTCAAGCCAGCCACGGTCTTCCCATTTGTTTAGGTCACGAATCAGTTGCTCAACTAGGTAGTCCGTTGTCCCAATGATGATTAGGGGTGCGTCCAGTCTCGCTTTCTTGGCCGCCCTCAACGCTGCCACCGTCTCTCCCCACCGGGGGATGTCTATCGCGCCCTCAAGGTCGAGGTGTACTAGCTCGTTTCGCTCATCCGCTTCTCCAAAGTACGCAAATCCCACCCCGTCCAGTGGTTGGGGTCTTCCCTGCTGGGCCTGTGGCTGTGACGCGGGCGGTGCTGCCAATGCTACGACCATTTGTTTTTCGTCATCTACTATTCTTCCCCGTCGTCTTCGTATTGCCGGTGGGTTCTGTATTTTCGGGTCGTCCACAAACACACGGAAGGCCTCGGCCAGGCCGCCCTTTAGTGTCATGGACGGATCAAAGGTGGCGTCTCCTCCTTTTTCCAGGGCAGTGTCGTTGCGATCTCGACGTCGTTTTGTTAGAGACAGACCGTCCGGGGTGGTGTGTAGGGTCGGGTTCCATTTAACAGTGAGAAGGCTCAGGATTCGTCCCGCTGCCTCGTGGCACCTACTGGGGTGTTTGCACCCGCGTTCGCGGTTTCTTGTACACTCCGCACATGCGCAGTCCAGCTGGCTGCTTCCCGGTTCCAGTATCTCGATGTGTGATCGCATGATTACTAGATCTGCGACCCATTTGACGTCATGGATCTCTCTTAGGCATGCGCTCAAAGGTGTGTTGTTCAATCGTTTGAGGTGTTTGTTTGCACTTATATGGTACCACACTGGTAGCTCTTTTTTCATGTCCTCGTTGAGGGCTACTGCCGCAAAACAGGCGTTGTGCTTCTTTGCCACAGTCAGCATATTCTTCAAGTAAAGCGGCAGTTTCGAGCTCGCGCCCTGTGCTGGGTGCCAGTCTTGCAGGAAGGTGTTTATCTGGGCCGATCTTCTGATGGCACCTGCGCTTTTGGTGACGTGGATGGCCATTATGATGTCCGCTGCAAAGGCCCACCTCGGGCGGTCTGGCGTCAAGGTCAGGTATCTCTTCAGCCACATCAGTTCAATGGCTTCGTTCCTTGTTTTTAGGTCCAGTATTCCTAGGCCGCCGTCTTTGACTGGTGCACATATGGTGTCTGTGTTTACCGGCGGCGTCTTGTCCGTGCCCCATACAAAGGTGCGTATCATCTTCGAGATGGTCTTTTCAACGTCCTTTGGCATTCCCTGTACTGTTGTGAGGTATTGCGTTATCCCTCCTGGGCCCATCTGTATGATGTGGTGTTTCCCTTTGAAGGACGGGTGACAACGTCCCCATCTTTCCAGGAAGTCGTGGACCTTGTTTACTGTCGGGGTCCATATCCCGGCACTGTCCGTATTGTTCCCTATCCATGCTCCTAGGATCCTTACTGCCTCACCTTCCCCGGCGATGTGGATATGTCCGGGTATTCCCGTATCATCTGACGTTGGGTCTGTTTTCCTCGTGTTCGTTACCATTTCTCTGTATGAAGCCGATCCGATCGGTATTACTTCCGTCTTCTCTTTGTTGAATCTGGCTCCGGATATGCCGCACCAGCTTTCTAGGACGTTCCACAGGTCCTCCCACCGGTCGGTGTATGAGAGGAACGTCGATGTATCGTCTGCAAAGAGGGATGCGACGAGTCTTGTGGTCATTCCTGGGATATCATAGCCTTTTAGGTTGGACGCTCGGAGCATACACGCCAGGGGCTCGATTGCTAGGTCAAACAGCAGGCATGACAGCGGGTCTCCTTGACGGACACCTCTAATTACCCAGAATGTTGTGCTTTTCTCACCGTTGACTATCACTATTGTCTCTGCAAACGTGTACAGACTTTTCAGTCTCTTTATGAGCTTCTCCGGGAGGCCCATGTGCTCGAGTACTGCCCACAGGTAGTCGTGCCTGACCTTGTCGTAGGCCTTCTCCTGGTCGAGTGCGACTATCAGGCCGTTCTCCTCCGTTGCTTCCGCGTAATCGACCATTGTTCGGCACAGCTGCGTTTGGTCCGTTATTCGACGGCCTGGTAGGAAGCCGGCTTGGTCCGGGTGGATGAGTTTGGAGGCCACAGGGGCTAGCCGCGTCGCGATGATCCTCGTATACAGCTTGTAGTCTGTGTTGAGGAGTGTTATTGGGCGGTAGTTTGCGATTTCTCTCCTATCTTTCTTCTTATATATGGGGCACATCCATCCTTCCGCGAATCCGCTATCCTTCTCTACTCCGTATCGGTCTATGTCACGGTATACTGTGCTAAGGTACTCTAGGCAGTCAAAGGACTGGGCGTCCTCGTCCGCTTTCGCGTGTATGTCTTTTAGGGTCGTCCACAGCTCATAAGGGATGCCGTCTAGTCCGGACGCCTTCCCTGTTTGTGTTTTGGCCAGGGCGTC